GTTTCCATTGAATGTTTAAAGCATAAAGTCATCTATTTTTTGTATTCCATGAATGAATAAAGCATAACCTTAACCATTTTGAGTTTTCTTTGATTGTATAAAGCATAAAATTATCTATTCTGCGTTTTCCTTGAATGAATAAAGCATAAAGTTGTCTGATTTTTTCTTGAACGGATTAAGATAAGTCATCTATTCTGAATTTTCCTTGAATGAATAAAGCATGAAGTCAGCAGTTCTGAGTTTTTTCCTTGAACCGATAAAGCATAAAGTCATCTATTCTGAGTTTTATTGAATAAATAAATCATAACTTTGACACTCTGAGTTTTCATTGAATGTGTAAAGCATAAAGTCATCTATTCTGAGTTTTCCTTGCATAAATAAATCATAACTTTGACCATTCTGAGTTTTCATTGAATGAATAAAGCAAAATGTCAACAGTTCTGAGTTCTTTCCTTGAATAGTTAAAGCATAAAGTCATCTATTCTTTGTTTTCCATGAATGAATAAAGCATTAACCTTAACCATTTTGAGTTTTCATTGATTGTATAACGCATAAAGTTATCTATTCTGAGTTTTCCTTGAATAAAGCATAAAGTCAGAAGTCATCTATTCTAAGTTTTTCTTGATGAATAGAGCATAAAATTATCTATTCTGAGCTTCCCTTGAATGGATAAAACAGAATATCATCTATTCTAAGTTTTCCTTGAATAAATAAACCATAACTTTAACCATTCTGAGTTTTCCTTGAATGGATAAAGCATAAGGTGATACATTGTACATCAAGTGCAGCTGCACAGAGGACGCCAAATAGAAATTTTCTCTCCTTTTGTATTTTTTTTTCTGTTTGTGTAAAATATAATATCTGAGTGTCAAACAGAATTGTTTGTCTGAATAAATTTTCTATCCAAATCATCCGGAAATTGAATATTTAAGGATGCTGTCATCCTCTATTTCATTACGGGTGGCAGAGAGGTAATTTTAATGACTTTAAACTTTGATGCAACGAGGATAACAGATAATAATTAGCCAATAAAATCTGACGCTGAAACAGATAGGGTTGGCTAAGCGGGTGGGTCTGAGGACAGTGATGTCTCTATGAAATAAACCACAGGGAAGGATTAATCTTGGGGGTTTTCTTTATTGGTGCTAGGGGTATCAACTTCAATATCCAACTGAGGCTATAAAGTCGGAATAAAATCTTCATCGTGTCCTTTATTTGTTATAGAAGAGGAATGGATCGTATTCTCTTCTGTTAAATGCCACACTGCTGCAAAAAATATAAAGCAAAACACAAAAGAATAGGAAACATCGTACCTTTTAATGGAGGGTAGCAATGTCAGAAATTTAGTGCTTCAAATTTACATATAACATATTTTATAGCTTTCGTGTCGTCTCTTCGGCTCCAAAATCAAGTTATGTCCCGTCTATTTTATCTCTAGATTGTCCATAATTAAACATAGCGACTATATATGAAGTGAAAATTTAATCTGCTTTGTTGTCATTTAAAGGCAATTAAAATTTGACGATTAAGTTACTTCCCATGCCATGATGATGCAAATAATAATATCTGAATGCAGATAGGATACCATATGTCAAGATACCTGCGAAATATACGATCGCCATGAAGAATGGCGTAATTGGTACAATAGTACCGGGAGCATATTACTCAAAACTAAGAGTACAGTCTATCTAAATTACGAAATCTTAAAAAATTGTATTTAAAACATATAATTTTCTCTAACACTGCCTTTTCACTGAATCTTCACTCTGAACACAGAGCACACTATATTTAAAAAAAAAAAAAAAGACACCGTTACTGGTTTTCATTTTGAATGAAATCAGAAAATACAGTTATTGAATAATTTGATTTTCTTCATTGCTTTGAAAATATATCAATGTAAAATGTTTCGTAGACTCGAAAATCTTAACGCAACTTATAATATGTCAAACAATATCAAATAAAGTACATTTATTCAGCAATTTTGAACATATATTTATACTGCATGTAGTATGCTAAGCAGAAACATCCATTATTTAATTTTCATGTTCATTTCTAAACAATTAAGAGTATCAATTCTCGAACACCTTCATACAAGTGAAATTACGTCTAATTCCTTGGTCAGTAAATGAATACGCCCTCATTTCACTGTTTTTGAATAAAAAATGAATCGAACAAACGGCATTAGGCAAATTTACCCTCCGAGCATTACAACCAGAGGCGATAAGGTGCATGCAGTAAAATAGAATCATATGACTAAATGTATTAATTCTAGATTGTAATTTAAGCGTTTTGGAGACTTAAATAGAATATATACAGAAAATCTATTTTAAGGAAAGACGTGTATTAGTGCTAACGCAAATGCTATTATGATTTTGTACTATCTGTCAAGTGGTGGCGTGCCACATTTTCGTATATCTCTAAACTTAATATTCTGTTATTGTTGTCGTTGTTGTTACAATGATACAGTTTTGTGGTAAAATTATTCATGTTATTAGAAGTAGTGTATAAGTTGTTATTATACTCGAACTTTCTAAAACAAAAAAAGCGCTCTCTCCGTGATTGGAAGGTTCAAGGTTCAAAACCCCGGCCGCGTCTGACCTAAGTCGACAAAAAATAGGTCGCAACTATTCTTTCGCCATGCGCTAGGCACTTTGAAGTGAAAGTCGCGGGTCTTTTGGATGAGACCTTATAAACCGAGGCCCCATGCCACGACAGGCGTTGGTACGATAAAGAACTCTCCTGGTTCTGAGTGCCGAGTATAGGTCTAAATTTGCAGCCGTTCGCCGGTATATGATGATATCATACAATTAATCAGTCTAAAGAAAGTTCCGGTATATTGTTAATATCCTGGTTTATCCGTCCTTACCTCACACTATATTCTTCCTCAAACTTACATTTAAACAGTGGCATATTTCTCCTTTGGAATATGAATGGAGGTTTTTTGTAGACGTTCAATAAGGTTTTCAAATTTCATTATCAAATCTAGGGCCAAATGGAGTGCATTGTTTGATTGATTAATCGATTAATGTTTAACGTCCCATTAGAAATTTTTTCACTCATTTAGAGACATTACCTGCTTTAGATGAATGCCACAAATTTTGACCTATGCAAGGCGCTAATGACGTAGCATTGATGTATTTTTATTGCGCCAACGCCTATCGTGACACAGGACCTCGGTTTTTAAGGTCTCATCCAATAGACCCGTGACTTTCACTTCTAGTGAAAACACTACTTATGTGCAACGTCTAAGGTTTGACGCTGTGCCAGGAACGAGAATCCAACCCGGAAAAACGAGGTTTTTCTATGGAAAAGAAACACTTGGTTCCAAGAACCCCTCATTTATTTAATGCAGTTGCCAGTCTATAGCTTCTGGAATATAATTGATGCTGTCCTGCAGAACACAAAATATCTAAGATTTCTTTTATTTTCAGCCTAGGGTCAATTGGGGATAGAAAAATGGTTCTTAGTGTTCCTCTCAAATTTTATCAAGTAGCCAAATCTTATTTTGGAATATGATTGGTAATGCCCTGTAGATGTGCAAAAAGGTTTAGAAATTTTCAACCTGGTGGCCATTAGGGAGCAGAAATATTTTTCCCCCAAAACATACTTGATTCCCAAAACTTCTCATTCTTTTTATACATGCAGTAGCCAGTTCATCTTTTGGAATATGAATTTTGGAATTTTCAATTTCACCTTATAGGACTATTTGAAGCCAAAAAAATCTTTTCTTAAAAACCATGTTACCAGAAGTCCTCTGACATTTTATTCAGTAGCCAAATCATCTTTTAGAACATAACTGGTGGTGTCCTGTAGATATGCAATAATTATAAGGTCTCGGAATTTTCTTTTTCATCCAAGAGGCCAATTGGAACCCAAAAAATTCATTTTTACAAAAAAACCTTCTTTCTAAATTATAAAATCCATTTTAAATATAATTTATTTTTCTTTAATTTCTTTAGTTTTAGACTGGTAATGAATTTATTGTATATTTATTACTAACATAAGAGGCCCATGTGCCACATGCTCACCTTAACATTTGAGGCTCCATTGGATACATGTATATTTATATACATTATGGAACAACTATCGGTGCTTCTTCACTTGTTACTCAGGTACAAAGGAGAGTAAAGGCAAAAAACGTGCAGGTATAATTGTCTTAGGATAGCATCAAGTCCCTGTTGTCGTTTGTAGTGGAAAATTTATATTTTTTTATCGTCATTTTTATAATCATTATTATTATTATTATAATTATTGTACTGCTGATGTTTATTTTGTGCTGATGTTATAATTCCTTTACTTCTAGAGGACAGTGTTTATATTTGCTATAAAATCTAATGGTACAAGTGTAATGAGCCGGTGTATCCTCTCCTTTCAACAACAATAAATGTTTATTTTTCTATGAAAAGTTATAATATTGACTTCTATACATGCAGCTATTGAAAGACAATGGAGTTCCCTTATATACTATTTCTCAGGCACATTGGGTTGCGTTTTCTAATGTGATTGGGTCACTATTTGTTGACAATCTTCTGTGTTTGAATACCTTTTATGTCAGAATTTAGGCGTTTTGTTTTTCTTAAAATGCAGGTTCATAATTCAAGTTTTTAGAAGCACGCACTTTCACTAATGCTATTGAATTAAAATCATGAAATTTTTGCTCATTTTCAGGGTGCCCAGAGCTTCTAAAAACATATCATTAATCCAGATGTGCATATGTTGTCGATAACACCCTTAAAATGCGTGAATCACTAAATCTGATATTTACAGAAGAAATCCCATAATATCTATATAATAACAACCTTGCCTGATAAGCTTCCTGACCTTTGACATTGTCAACCTCCATATCTCGGAATGGACGAAGCTCTATCTACCAGGGAATCACGATATCCAATCTTCAAAGGAACTACGTCATTGATTGTTGACTTTGAGCACAAAATGGTCTAAATCAAAAGTAAGTGTTTGCTTACTTCATATTGTCCCTTTTTGTCTAATCTTTTTATCGATTGGACAATGATATGCACTTCAGATGTAGGAGTTTATCAGACAAGTGCCATGGTTCTCCTGGTGAAAACCTCAGGTAGATTGTCACTACTTGAAGACTGTATCTCATTTAAAATTGAATAAAGAATACTGCATAAGTGCGCGGAAATCAGGTTTTTACCATCAAATTTTGTCATTTTCAAACATTTTTTATAAAAGGGTGAGTATATTTTACATATTTGATCTTATTTTCAAAATTGTTTCTTGCATGACAAAATCTTTACAAAGAATACAGCAAGCCACATGACAGAGACTCTGGCTTAAGTATTATATATCTTATTTTTGTGGAAAATGTGATTTCTTAATGTAATTATTCTGACAAAATTTGAATTTTTTTCTGACAATGATGCCGTATTTTGTTTTAATACTAGGTAGGATGTTCATTATAGTTTCTGGCTGGTTAAGGTTACACAGTTTTCTTGATTTTAAATCACAGTTTTAAAAAAAAAATCGTCACGTTTCCTTTCCAAGTATTAACATGTCCTTATGCACATGTAATAGTGTGACCTTAACGTATCACGATTCTCACCTGAGAATTATTTTATTCCTAGCCTTTCCTTGACCATGTTAACAGCGCTCTCGGTGGTGGCACTAGTGCTTTGTGGATCCACATTACAAGTATCAGGGGTGGATCCAGTCTCTACTGCCTGTGTTCTGCAATGTGATTTGACTTTTGGTGCAGTTAGTGAAGTGTCCGGCTGTGATTGCAATGCTTTAAGAGGTGAGACGATTTCAATCATATAAGTAGAAAAGATAGCAGGTGATTTTTTGAAATGATTATTCCTTACCCATTTTTCAACGGATGCAAAATGCACTGCCTCCATAAAAAATTAAAATCTGGAAAACGAAACAACTATGAAACTTAATGCTGTTAAAAGACAGAAATGCCCGCATTTAAGTGTTTCTGTTTAAATTTTCTTTCCTTCGTACCTAGCAAAGAAACCACACAAGATTTATTCTATAATTTACATATATATACATGCATCAATTTGTGCATAACAGGCACAATTTAGCATGTGTCCCACGGGCCTCTTTTGTTAGAATTTCACATAAAAAAAATTCATTTCCAGTCTGAAAATATATTTTGTGAAGTGTTTTGTTTTTTTTACTTAAAGTGTGACAAACACTACACCCCACCCCACCCCATCCCCACAATTGGTCCCTTGGATGAAAATAAAAATACCGAAGCCTTGATGCACATCTAAAGGATAATGCCAATCGTATCCATGATTTCGATAGAACGTGAGAGGAGTTCTTGGAACGTGGTTTTTTAGAACCCCCCCCCCCCATGAAATTCTGAAACCTTATTTCACATCTACAAAATAATCATATTCCAAACATAATGTGGCTCTGAGTAAAATGAAAGAGGGGATCTGGGAACATGGTTTTTGTTTGTGCCCCCAATGCATAGTCTATTTACAAATATTAATATTTATGCAATTTTAAAATTTTTACTCGAAAATGATATTTTTTCCGGCAAGATTTAGATGCATAATTTAAGTAATTTTGTAAACACATGTATGTTAACTACCCGTGTCAAGGATTACGATCCCTTGGCAAGCAAAATATCGTTTCACTGGTTTACGAGAAAGGGCATGTAAAGAGTAGGAAGAGGAACCAAAAAATATTCATAAATAAGAAAGAAGAAAAAAATTACTGCCAAATTGTGGCTGAAATACTGCAGACTCGGCCTTCAGCAATATATAATTAATCAATCAATTACATCTATGCATTATTTTTGTAATTAATCGAGTTCAAAATTACACATTAATGACATAAACAAAATATTTCGTGCAATATTTTACATCACCCGGTAAATTTTCCGGTTTATTATACAGATACAGTAACTTGGATTTTTTGCAATCCATTTCATTGTCACAAAAACATTATAACTTTGTATCATATATAACTTTTTTCATTTTCTAGAAATCAACAGTACTATCTCACAGTGGATGCATTAATTAATATAACAATATTTATTAATTTATATAATAATATAACAAATATAGTGCTAAATAACTAGTAAAATAGGTACAAATCGGCCATTTTGAAACAGACATGTCACAAAACTTTCTTGGGTGAAGGGGATTCAAGTTGCCACACGCTCTTTCAGGGTGGGAAAATTAAGAAATTATATTGGTGGTGTCATAAAAAATATAATTTCTCAAGAACCCTGGACAGTAATGTCAATACTTATTTGAATGCTTCCCTATATGGTGACGATTCAAGGTTATTCAAATATGACCCCCAAGGGATGGGTGGTCCTACAATCTGCAATGTACCAAAGTTTTACATAGTAATAAATATAGAGAAAAAAAATTAAAACCTTCGTCTCAAGAGCAACAGGGCTTGAATATCCATACTATATTATTTAAGTCTCCTCAGGAAGTCAAATTGAAATTTGTTCAAATCATGACCTCCAGAGACAGTGTGAGGCCAGAATAGGGGTTCAAATTTTTACACTGGGAAAAAATCTTTAAATATATCTTAATTTCAAGAACAACAGAGCCATTTTAAGTCATATTACTAATATTAAGTATATATCAGGTAGTGCAGAAATCGTGACCACTGGGTAGAGTGGGGCCACAATAAGAGATCAAAAGTTTTCCATGGTAATATATAGGAAATTAATTTAACAAAGTCTTTTTTTAAAGGGGGGGCACTAAATCCTCAAGATGCGAATATTCCCAGGTTGTGTGGATTGTTGTTTTCGAAATGATGATTCCTAGGGTCGTGTTGGTGTAAAATATGAGTAAAATTTAAATACAGAAGAAAAAATCTTAAATACATTTTCTTCTTAAGAACAGTAAGGCAATGTTAGTCATATTGATGTTGAAGCATCCTCGTATTGTGTGGTTTCAAGTTCGATTATATCATGACCCCTTGGGGATAGGGATGTACTACAATATGATGTTAAAAAAAAGGGCATGGGAATAAAGAGAGGAAGAATTTTTTTTAATCCTATGAAGAACAGCAGATTCAAGTGACAGATGAGAGTTCTGGCCCATGGGCCTCTTTTTTCATAATTCTTCGAACATCCTCGTTTGAAGTCAACATATCGCAAGTTATACGGTCGATACAATGACCTTGTCAGCAAATATAATCTATCATTAAAGTTGAATGCTGACTGAAGTTTTTCATACTAATTGTTAAGCCATTATTTACACACTGAATTGTCTACGGATTTATCCGTTTGCCCGATCATAACAAGGAGCACACGGCGGGTGTGACCGATCGACAGGGGATGCTTACTCCTCCGTGGCACCTGGTCCCACCTCTGATGTTTCTAGATTTGCTCTGCTCCCGATTTGTATTGTTTCAATGGTTTTTGAGCTTTCTTGGTTACTGTTCGTTATCGTCACATTTCATTCGAAGTAGCGGTGTAACTGACACATTTATTCTAACTATTAACAGCACAATTGGTGGTGCGGACCCACACACACACTGCTCATCCTCATCATCTAAACCACCACTTTACCACCACACCGACCATCACCACCACTCCGACTCCAGCTCTTAGAACCACCACCGACCTCTGTGATTTCCTCTGTGCCATCCAGCAGGGAGGGGACGCTTGTCATTGCTTAAAACCTGGTCTGCCAGGAAGAAAATGATATTCAATAAATTATTATAAGTTAATTGTTTGTTATATTTCAGTAAGAATTTAGAAAAAATTAGCAAACGTCTTCTTTTCTGTCTCTGTGATCAAAGATCATTGTTTTAATCTACATACGTTTATGTCTATCTTTCCCGTAATTAAAATGAAATTTCTTTTCGTTTTTACTCATGAGATGATTGACAAGTCATCTTAAGGACGATAACTTTAAAATTTAAGTTATGCGTACTACTTTGTCGATGGAATCCGTATTTCTTTTTATTCCTATCAATGAGATGACTGACAAGCCATCTAAAAAGGGATTTTTTTTTAAATGATAATATGCATACTACTTTGTCGATGGAAGTCTTTTTTTTTTAATTTCATTCTTGAATTTTTTTTAATTATTTAAATTTATTTATTTACTTTGTTTATTTTATTTATTTATTTTCTATTTATTTATTTATTTTTTTATTTTATTTACTTATTTATTTATTTTTGTATTTTTTTTTAATTTTTATTCATTTTTAATTTTTTTTAATTTATTTATTTATTTATTTATTTATTTATTTATTTATTTATTTATTTATTTATTTATTTATTTTGGTGATATGGATCAACATTCAAATTGAAACTAGATCTGAAACACTATACATTGTTTAAGGGTCCAAATTGGTAATTAATAGTCTCCCTCTTTAAACATCCAAATATCCAAAAATATGACTGATTTGACGCTGGCCTTTGATTTGTTATCCATTACAACAGAACTTAATAAACAGTCCCTCTAGTGGCTTACAGTTATCAATACCTTTAAAGCTGCCGTAATTGTTCAAGAAGATGAGGATCATTTTCCATACCTGCTGTTGCATGACATTGAACAGATTATCTTTTCTGTAAAAAAAAAAAATTAAAAAAAAAAAAAAAAAAAAAAAAAACTTGGATCAAAGTTACACTATTATTTGTATCAACTCAGTATCTGATGAACGTGTTCGACTGACAATTTAGTTTCTTTTTCCTCTTTTTTAATCTATAGATCGACTCATTATCACTCCCCTCGTGCATTTGTTTGTAGAGAATGTGTATTAAACATATGCAATTACCAAAACATAACTAAAATTGATGCCAAAATTGCTGCCAAATCAAATGTTAACATGTGTTGTTGAAAAATAAGCTGTCTTTGAATGCAATTAACGTAAAAGAGAAAAATGAAAATCGGTAACGCACAGACGAAAATGAGCAAATTAGAGAGCAGCTTCAATTAAGATAACTTTCATGGAACTTGAAAATTACCCGAAACAGTGAGCAAAAGTTCTGGTTATTGACAGAGATATTCACATATAACTAATTAGAAGTTCTGTCTTAGGGTACATTGCTTCACCAAGACCGTAAATCTTTCAATTATAGTGTAATATACACTTCAATATTGTCGTAAATGTCACCGGAAACATGTGTTGCTATGAAGCTAGCATGCCAACGTGGCAACAGTATAACGGTTGCTTTTTCACGGTATGTACTAATAGTTTACAAGATGTTTATCGATATTGGGAGGAAGCCGATAGAAATCTCGGGAAAAGCTGTAGCATCATTAACTCTCTGCTGAAAGAGTTGTTAAAAATACATCCAATTCTAGAATTTGAAACGAAAGACAAGATTTTTTTTAATGGCTGCCAAATGTCTGTAAATTTCGAGCGGAATCTATCAATCTTAATGTTTAGCATCTAAATACAATACCACGTGCTTATGTATATTTACAAAACTAAAGGATATGATTTATGGTCAACTCTCTACAGCTGGTTCGTGATAGCACGAAATTTTCATCAATTATTAAATTTGTAATTTGAATTTCAATGGACTTCTATCTGGGAAATATGTTATAAAAATCAATTATTCACAAAACAATTTGTTGAAAAAGGTTGTTATACGAATATTAAAAAGACACTCCAAAAAACTGCTTTTGCAAGTGGTAATTATATAAAATGTACCCGTATGTGAAACTCGTCATGCAAAGGCGATCTAAGTCAATATAAAAAAAACTTAACCAAAACAGGGGGAAAAAATCTGCAGTAACTAAATTGACTGGATATCGCCTCTGTAATTGAATTGTCAATACGCCATTATAGTAATTTTATTGCGCGAAGAAAATTGACACATCAAAATTATATAACCATTAATTGATTACTTTAAGTAGCACAGATTTTTATCTAGAGTTTTATCGACAACACCTGCAATACACATGATAAAAAGGTAGCTAGATAAATTAATTGGAAAATTTTAACCACCAAATAAATGAATATTGTATGATTTTTATTGTAGAGAGGACGTGAAGATAAAAAGTTCTTTTCAAATGTATTTATGAAAAGCTAATTGCGCAGAAAAATGAGTTTAACTTCGATATATGGGCCAACGTCATGGGTCAAAGAGGGTAATATAGGGTTCATTTCAAGAGTGCAAAAATAGAATCGTGAATTGACAGAAATGTTTTCTCGATGCTTTGTCTATTCATTTTCACTGACTAAGATGAATGAGAGGTATTATGTGAAATGTATGGTAGGTGTCCAAAATGCAAGATTAATTTGCTAAAATTTGGAGAGATTGGTAGGCTCTTGTCAATTTTTCAGTGTTCAAGAATTGTTGGAGCATTTGTCATTGGTAGGTATTATTAGAACGTGCTCACACCTGAATAAGATCATTGTTTTTGTATATTATATATATATATATATATTAGATAAAATTTTGAAAGTGAAAAACAAAAGGAAAAATAGAGAAGTGCATTATCCTCTCTCACTAAACAGGTTTATTCCTAGTTGTTGATGATCATATTAACTAATAAGTAAACTTTTAAGTCCAACAATTCTATGAATCATTTTTAAGTATTTTGTCGTTATATGACTTTAGAGTTTTTGAAATTTTGAAATACATCACTAATGCACGCTTGACCAATAAACAACGTTTCCCTCCAGAGTATTAATGGACTTGCCCCATACGGGTTTGATTTCAAATCCTTGATTTCGTGACGAGCTAAATATTGCAATCAGCAAAATACTGCCTCGACTCTTGTCTATTTTCTAAATAATATACTATTTTGTCTTTTTTTAAAATAATAATTATCATTTTATTACCTACAGAAACGGTGAATACACACAATGTTTTTGTTAACATCTTTTTCAATTCATTCTTATCATGTTCTCCAATTCTAAAAAGGGAAAAAACCTTTACTTCGAAAAGGTTATTTTACACAGAATTAAGGATAAATAACGCAAACAAATAAAAAATATTGCATGGATATATATATATAAATTCTTAAGTATAAATAAATCGTAAGTTCGAGGGTTGATGCAAAAGTCATGTCACAACTGCTACCTTTATTTAAAATCTTTGATATTCGAAAGTTACCAACAGAATTTTATATATTAATACCTCTATCTTTTTTTTTTTTACTTTTGTCTTAAAATTTCATTCAAATAAATGCAATACTTTTTAAAATATTAATATATTTAAAATAACATATGTATTAATTATTATATTAAAATATTTAGATAAATACAAAGTTAGATTTTGGCTTTCAAGATTCTTGTCAATCAAGAATGTGCCGATGTTTCTCTTCGTCACTCATTTTCAGTTCATCCATAAAGCTCTCAAATCTCTCGCATACATGTTTTATTTCATGTCCACTCCCAACTTGTGCTGGAGCATCTAGTTTATAGCTATTTTTAAAAAAAATTATTTTAACTTTCCATATTCTTTGGCTGTGCGTACATACATGTAAATCTAGCGTAGGCTCACTAGCGTCGGAGGAAGTAACGTGAAAGGCTCATCCTCCATACGATTTTTATGCCCCCTTAATCGAAGATTTGGGGGTATATAGTTTTTGCCCTTGTTTGTCCGCAAAAACTTCAACCTTGCCCATAACTTTTGAATGGGTGGGACTATGGCTTTCATATTCCAAAGTTGTATTTATTGTAACAAGGCCTTTCTTTTAGTACCAACAAATTTGACTTATTGACCTTGGAGTTTGACCCACTTTTGCAAAAAAATACCAAACTTTTCAACCCTCGCCATAAGCTGCCGTACGAGGGCATCAGTGTTTTAAAAACACATCCTGTCCACCTTTTAACTTTCATTCACATTGGTATTTTAAGCAACTTTTGAATCTTTATAATGCTAATTATTTTCCTTAGTAGCAAATGTCTCGGTAGTCAATTTTGGATTGGCGTTAAGTCAGGTTTTCAAACTTTTCAACATTTTGACTGAGGAAAAAGAGATCTAGAGTGAATGGACAATCAGTCAACCTTGACGGTTCACTTACTCTAGATGTTGAATCTGACGATACTTCAGATCTAAGCAAAAGTAATGAATTTTAACAAATAACATTTGGACAAGGTTCAAATAATTGAAATACTACAACTCAAAACAGAACCCTTTATAGCAAAATGGCAAAATGGCAACGTAAGAGAAGTATGTAAGAGGTTAAAAAGATTTGCGGATGAACTGAAAATGAATGTCAAAAGTAACGTCATTATAACCGTCGGTAACTTTCCTGCCGTGCGGCGATAGACAAAAAACCTAAACCTAACGTTGTGTTTATCTCAATATTTTAAAAAGTATATGTAACTCAATGAAATTTGAAGGTAAAAATCAAAATAGATAGGGGTATTTTAAAATATGTAAAATTTTGTTGATAACATGCCTTTATTAAAGATTTTATTGCAGTCATATTACTCTTGGATCAACCCTCGTATTCTGTTATGTTCAAATAGGCCACTCTGTGTCATTATAACCCCCCCCCCCATTTATATATATATATATATATATATATATATATATATATATATATATATATATATATATATATACATATATATATAAAATTGCAAAAATCTTATAAAATTTCTAAATATATCCTAGCACACATTATTCAATTTATCTATATGAACAAACATCTATTAGATGTTTTACTGATTTTTGAAAAAAAAAAGTTTGTTATTTATCCTTGAGGTTCATGTTGAGCGAGACATAGGTTTTTCAACGAAGTTTACCATACAAGAAGAATATGCACATTGAATAAGTTCTCAGTGCTGTGTTGTTAAATGTGCAATTTATTAGCAACAAGTAATAAAAAGTTGAAGGAGAAAAAAAACATACGCACACACAATGCTTATGCCTGTAAATACAGACATATATTTAGTCACCAAACTTTCAGAAGGATCTTGACCTTGAACCATAGATAGGTCTATATAGGCTTTGCCTGTTGCCAAATCCTATTATGTTTATTGCTTAATAAAATACATGTATTTTAAATTAAATTTAGAAATAAACTAACTAAAGTTGAGCTTATGGCATGTGTGTACAACGTAAATAAAGTAAAATTGCCAAAATATGTAAAACACTTATTTTAACAATCCGGAAGATAATGTTTTAAATTTATTCTTCGCAAAAATGTTTATTTCACCACATAGTTGATAACATATATAATGCCAATTCTTCTAATTTGCGTATCGTTGTTATTTTTAAGAATAGTTATGCAAGTCTGGATTCTCAGTTTGATTCTGAATTTCTACCTCAAGAGGGTGTCAGGGCTCTATGCCAAGGATATCAGAAGTTATGCCCATTACTTAGTACTGGGACAAAGTGGGTGCATGCCTTATATTTAACTGTGTTCATTCTTTCAAATAGGTACCCAACATATACTGCAACCTCTGTGTAACATTAAGTGTTCAAATGTTTGCCAATCTGAAATCTGAGAGAAGTGCACTGTCCACTCTAATATCAACCAGTGAAAGAAGATACAATTTTTTAGTCCTGTAAGGTCTACACAATATGACCTCAATGTAATCTGGAAAAAAAAAATATACACAACCATGAAATATTTCAGAGATTTAATAAATCATTTTATAAATTCTTTCATATGGCTTAATTTGCACATTAATAAGACTCGTTAAAACAAAGATGGCATCTAATGAAGAGACAAAACAACAATACATTTCTTTACACAACATTTTTGATTCTTGTTATACACACCATACCAGGAACCCGAATGTGTACACCCATTAATAGAACCAGGAATCCGACTGCGTACACCCATTAATAGAACCAGGAATCTGACTGCGTACACCCATTAATAGAACCAGAAAAATAACACAAAGTAACACTCAACAAAGGTAACTTCATCGGGAAAGGAAAGAAATATTTACAGCTTTCTGGGCAAGTTTTTCAGTACAATGCATTGGTATATTCATGGAAATTTAACGAGTACGGATGACCTTTGAACTCACTACAATTAAATGACTAGGTAATATTAACTGATGCGAGAGAAAAATGATAACTTGCTTCAGAAGTCCATGAATGGCATTTTAACTTAAACATTGCACACATTTTATTTTTCCATGTGAATGCCCTATCAGTTTGCATTTAAAGAATCAAATTCAAGACAAGATTAAATGAGACTTCAACAAAAGTAGCCATTATGATTGCCCTGAAAATTTGAAACAAAGCTACACAATTTTAAAAAATTTGAAAATCAAAGAAATGCAAGCTTAATATTGACTGAGGAGATTTACAGTCTGGAGAAACTTAGCAGGATACATAGATTGTAAACATGTACCAATAAATCATATTATAGATAAGGACTATATCATAACATGAAGTCATTTGAAAAAAAAGAAAAGTTTTGGCTGAACAAGTGATCATGTGATTTTGCATTTGTACATTTCTTTTTAATGATATGCGGTGAAATGTCAAAAATACCAATTCTGTACTCTCTTGTTTTATCTTCAGCCTTATATTGAGCACTAAAAATATTTCTCTTTTGTTTTCAATGTTACAAATATGTTACTTAATGGTCTGCATAACCTTACAGAGACCAAAACAATCTACAAACGAAAGCTGTTAAAGTATATTTTATATAATTATGAACATGCTGAAAATGACTCATTTATCCTCCATATTCTACACACATCTGTTGTATTTCCCAGTCTCTTTTTGTACATTGACATTCTACAACCTACCCTATCTATACAGCTGAGTTAAATGAAGTACTGAATTACATGAGAGTAAATGAGCACTTTTCTACCAAGCTCCCATCCACACATGTAGCATCTTTTAATGAAAAGTATTCACATTGGAAAATATATATGGTATAAACGCATTAAGTACAAGTGGGTTAATAAAACAAAAAGAGTATGTAATAATACACAGGGTGGTGGGGTGTAACAAAGTACTACATACCGGAAAAATTAAGCAAAATGTTGGAAAGAAAATGGTGTACTTATAGATAAGCCTGATTAAAATAAATAGCACTTTCAGTCTATAACTGAAACATTAACACTAACATACAACACACAGTCTGATACTTTACTCTCCCTCAACAGAAAACAACGACACAGGGGACTTATTAGAAAGAACACAATACTCACATCATCATACCTCATTATAAAACTCTAAGAACTTAACACCAATTTACAATAAGGTAATGAACTGCTTGATTCACATGTTTGTGCTTTTTTTTTCTTTACAATAATTAGCCTATAATTTCACATTCATGAACAGTTCAAACTTTTACAGAAATATTTGCTCACAACTAAAAACTTCAAACATTCCAATGTACACTGGTCCCTACACGAAAGCTAATATGGATCAGGAAAGACAATTCTTGCTAGGACTGGATCTGTTCTTTACTTCTTCCCAGATCTTCTCTTTCCCTTTACTATTTTGGGCTGATTTTTAATGCTGCCAGTTTTTCTTCTTGATGTCTGTCAAAGTATATAAGATTTTTATTTTTTCCATAGTTACATTACAAAAATATTGATGAAAACTATTAAACAACTCAAAGACACATTGAATATTATTACAATAAATCTTTCAAATGATTCTGTGCCATATGAAAATCACAACTGAACCTACGCATAGAATAAAATATACTCAAAATTACAGTTGAACTTATATAGGTATTCTAAATGAAATATCACAGATATTTGAAGCGAGTTAAAAGTCCTAATCACTGAGTTTGGTGTTCTATAATGGCAACATCTGGAATTCCTTACCAAATTTTGTTTTCTTGTCCCTATTGAATTTGAGATAACATGATTTGACTGTTATTGTAATTCTTTCATTTTGAAAAACAACTATTTACAGAAAAGTTTACAACTAAATTGCTGATTTTACAGAAGTCTCTATCATACACTCTAACATGTTGTGTAGTACCTTTTTTGACATCTTCTTCTTCCACTTTTGAGCTGGTATAGATGGTTTTGTCACTTTTTCTCTGTTTTCTAGATCTTTGACTTTGTAGATTCTCACCAGCCAATGTTCTGATGTGTAGGCTTCCTCCAGGTGAGTCAATTTAAAATTCTTGTTACCTATTTCTACACCTCTTGTCCTATCATATCCGGCCGGACTTCGGAAATCCAGCTGCAATGGATTACATTATACTCAACGTAATCATTGTTATAACATACACATGTATATGTGAATCATGCAAGAAAAAAAAACACATAGATACAACAGACAAACTTAATCATTCATTTTCTTTGGCAAAAATATGAAAACAAAATACATCACACAATCTGAGGAGGCAAACGCACAAACGCACCTGCAATTCCCCAAATCTGTAATATGATAGTTTGTACATCAGACAGTTAAGTAGTGTCTGAGAACCAGCCGAGTCCACACGGAACTCACCCTGGGGAGTGAAGTAATCCGATTCCTGCAAAGGAGGATTTTTAAAATACATATAAGTATTAAATATACCATAAAACATGCTTACAGCAAACATGCTTATAATGAATTGACGCTTATAGTGAAGTGATTTTCATTCCTCTTGACTTTAAAATATATTGAACAGATAACGGATATAATGAATTACGTTTATAACAAAGCAAAATTGTCCGTTCCTGGCACTTCGTTATAAGCGTGTTTTACTGTACATTATTAATATACAGCGTCATCTCTTAATCATGTTAACATCTATGATTGTTCATTGAAGAAGATATCTTTTTTTATTGTAGAAAATACAATCCAAAAATATTTCTATAAAAATATTTCTATACTACAGAATGAGTACTCTCGGTATTTAAGGAGGGACTTTATTTACCTTGATGTCTTTTGGATGTTCCCCCTCTGCAATTCTGACCATCCACAAGAATTTATTGATGTCGTCACCTGAATATCCAATTACGCCCCCAAATATGACAAGTACGTAATTCACGTCCAGCTGACGCATGATGTCATAGGCTGCCGTCTCATTGGAGGACATAGCTTTACCAACCTGTATACATGTACATTAAAGTGTAAAGAAAAGTGGATACCAAACAGAGACTTTTTATATAAATATAAACAGGCAGATTATGTCATGTTTGAATGACTATATAACATTACTTTACAATAAAAGAAAGAAAAAAATGTTAACAGGAAATATTCTATTAATGTAAAAAATAAAGAATATCTACAGAATTTTGGGGTTTAATACATTAAAAATATCATAAGAAAGAATTTTTAATAACAGAATCCGATATTACATTGTACTTTTATAGCTTCAGTACATACTGGGAGATAAAAACATGTATCCTTCTATGTCTGTTTCACTTTTTTTCCTATGAACAATATTTCTTAAACTCATGCTTTACAGAATGAGTAAGCAATCTCTACCAAAGCTATGTGACTGTTATTCCATGTATTGTTGTCCACTAGCGTCGTTCTGTTCCCCATTCCTGCTATCTGGTACCCATAATCCCACCAGGACATGATCCGCGCCTTCTCATCTGTATTCTGTCTCAACCAATAATACGCTTCACGGAAGTCATCCAAGATTGTCCTACTCCTGAAAACATTAAAAAAAAAAAACACCAAATAAATTTGGATGTACATATTATTGTGTATCCATATCAGATTTTCCACTAAGCACTAAAAGCACCAAGGAATACAAACAGAATAAACCTTAAGGGAACTTGTACAGACCATTTTTTTCCCATTTAACAATCAGATGTTCTGTGTAGAGAGCTTGCTGACTCACCCGTCATGATTGTAAGAAGCCAACACTATACTCGGGCTGGAGTAGGCACTGCTCGTCACCCAGGTACAGTGGACAGCAAACAGCATCAGAATCATCAACAGGGCGATAATCACAATCGTCTTTATGTTCATTCCCATTGCATCCTGGTCTTTTGGTTTCTCTTCTTTTGTTTTCTTAGTCTTACCAACCTTATTGTTAATCAAGCAAATGAAAAGATTATCATCAATTTGCACTCTTTTTAGAATGACTTGATCCAAGCTGTTAAGAAATAGTTTTTGTTTAAAAGGTATATATAAATAGTCCCAATAGATCATTTCTATCCCACCTCCTACACTAACCTTATCATAGAGCCTGTCATTCTACACTAACCTTATCATAGAGCCTGTCATTCTTGCTTTCGGCAGGCTCTTCTTTGCTTTCTTTACTACTGGATTTAGGTGTTTCATCTTTGAGATAGATTTCAAATGTCTTTGAGAAGGCTATTGCAGCAAGAACACATACAACTGGTGTTAGAGTTAACATAAGACGAACCATCACACCCGCAAAGTAACTGGCAAATATGGCATACAGAATCACTGAAAACAAGAAAAGTCCGAATATTAAATATATAGAAAACTCAAATACATGTACATGTACCATCAGTTCATACCACTAAAGAAACATAATTCAATGCAAATTATAAAAAAAAAAAAAATTGGGAGACTAAATAATGTTTTATAAATCTCATAAAAAAAAGAGATGTTTCCAGTTTGAATTCCTTTGAACTTTTATATTACAAATTTCATTTATAGTCGAAAAAGTGTTGCATGATGATAATTGTAGCAAATAGCTTACCAAATACTCTCTCGTCATTAATGTGCTTCACACAATACCACACCCCGGCTGGGAAAGCACAGACAAGGATGTGAAGGTCAAAGAAGAAGGACACCCATGTGGTGGGCTGATGCTCCGACACGGAGGCAATGATAGGAATGTGGATTTTAGCATATCCTGTGTCCCACAGGGAGTAGAAACGACCACTCCAGGGGTGGATAATTCCTAAAAGTGAAAATGTGGAATAATAATCTAGGCTGTCATACTTATTGCAAAGTTCAAATCATTACACATCAAGTCTTTCAACAAGAGACTCTTGGGCCACAATGCGAGGTCATGATTTTAACAAGCTTGAATCTACACTACCTCAAGGTAATTCTATATCAATATGGATACACATGGCTTTGCTGTTCTTGAGAAGAAGATTTTTGAAGATTTTTTTCCTATATATTCCTATGTAAAAATCTGATCCCCCATTGTGACCCCACCCTACCACTGGGGGTCATGATTTGAACAAAATTGAATCTACACTACCTGAGGATGCTTCCATACCAATATGACTAATCATGACTAAGCTGTTCTTGAGAAGAAGATTTTTAAAGTTTTTTCCTACATACTCCTATGTAAAACTTTGATCCCCCATTGTGGCCCCACCCTACACCCAGGGGTCATGATTTGAAAAAAAAAAAAACTTGAATCTAATCTATGTAAAATTTTGATTCCCCAATGTGGCCCCATCCAACCACCAGGGGTCATGATTTGAACAAACTTGAATCTACACTATGTTAAGGTTTCACATAAGTTTAACTTCTATGGTCCAGTGGTTCTTGAGAAGAAGATTTTTAAAAGATACTAGCAAATTTTTACTATTTCTTAATTATCTCCCCCTGAAAGAGGGTGTGGCCCTTCATTTGAAAAAAATTGAATCCCCTTCACCCAAGGATACTTTGTGGCAAGTTTGGTTGAAATTGGACCAGAAGTTGAAAATGTAAACAATTTACAGATGGACAGATGGCTAGACCAGTTGGACAGATGGACAAGGGACAAAATGTGATCAGAAAAGCTCACTTGAGCTTTCAGCTCAGGTGAGCTAATAACACAAAGTGACATCAGCATGTTTACCAGTTGTCTTCTTCAGCAATCATGATAGGTTTCAAGTGATTTCATGACACTAATGCTTAAAATTTATGTATTTGTGTAGATAAGTGACACTGCCATATGCCATCACTAAACAATTAAAAAAATAAATTCATTTGAGATGGAGATTTCATATTTACAGTGTTATTTATGTTATAAGGGGATTCCTGTATTCAGTTACAAGATCCACTCCAAAATTCTCAATGGCTATCCCTAAATAAATCGATCAAGGTCAGTAACCTTGGCAAATATATTAGGCTGTGATGTTGACATACATGAAACATACACTATGCATGGACTATTCACTCTATTTTTGGAGTAATTTATGTATTTTTGGAGTTCAGATACGAATATTACAGCGACACTGTGACGCACACACGGGAAAATTGACAAACATAGAATTTTTACATGACCCTTGAAAATTTTGTTCAATTCCTAAAAGAACATGTATTAGGTTTCAGAAAATTACAGGTTTGGGAACCTAAAAAATCTATTTTTATGGAGAAAAAAATAATTTCTGTATAACCCAACACGAAAATATTGTTTTACCATTTCCTCCTTATTGTACGCGTGCACAGAAAAGTTGAAGAAGTTACCATGGTCTCAAGTACCAAAAAATGAATGTCGGTAGACCAAGAATTTAGATACAATCTTCAAAAAAGATTATTAGAACATATTTCTCACCTTTGGATGCTCCAATTGAATGTTGTTTACAAGTTTACACTAAAAATAAAAGTGGCGTAACCTTGACATGCACAATAACAACGAAACGGTAGTTACAACCTTTGTTTTTCCGGCACTTTTATTGTGCAGTCTTTTCCTGCTCTGCAGTGCAATTTAGTTGTCATATTCTCTCTATACTCGTAATTTTCATTAATCTTTCGCTTTATGATACAGATATCTTAAAAGAAACACATGATTTTGACTCATTATGTAACTTTAATAAAATAGTCACTGATATATGATTTGATCCAAAGTCTTTTACAGGAGCGAGTCGCTCTTGTACCTGCTCCATTACCGAGATCCAAAAGAAATGTAGCCCTATCCCCATGGAAAATTGAGGAATGCTAAATCATCACAGCTAAGCCAATATGTGTCATACTATGTGCCCTTTGAAACCACTTACCTGCCCAAGTCAGGCCGACAACACTAAGAAAGATAACTCCTGCGGCTCCTCCCACGGCACAGAAAAAGAAAATCTTAAATTCAGCTTTGGTCATGAAGGAATGCACATACTGTATAACAGCGTATGCATTTATTAAACCAAATACACCTGTATGGAAAAGAAATACCCTCAAATAATCTCAGAACTATGTATTTGAGAAAATAATACACCAATGCAGGCTAAACTTTGAAATTTATTTCATTAGTCTTGTCATAAAAAGAATCTGTAGAGCTATTAACTAAGTACAATTTCAAAATAATTTCATATACATACCAGCAGAGGCCATATGTTCACTGGTTTTGATTGGCTGGAATCCGACAAATGGGATTTGCATTGATAATATTAAACCCACAATGAAAAATGTTGAATATGCTGAAAAAGAAAAATATAGCTTACATAAAAAAGAAAGATAATTCTTGTGTCAAAATCTTACGTTTTGCTATTTCTAGTGGGAATCAAGCAAAACAATTATCAATCTACTATTGGATTCTTATGATAACTTTACTAATATAAAAATATTCATTAACACTAGTTTTATAATATTTATACAATTATGGACTCTTTTGGTGGTGAATATGGCTTGTTATTCACCAGAAAAATATCAATATTGACCTCGGCTTCGCCTCGGTCAATATTGATATTTTTCTGGTGAATAACAAACCATATTCACCACCAAAAGAGTCCATAATTGTTTTATTATATAGTCAGTATTTGAATGAATAAGACATTGAAGGCTGCATGACGATTCCATTTTCATTAACGAAGTTCTGTCGTAAACAAAATTTTAAAAAAGTATAGATTACAACTTGTAACTTCCGTGCTTTCCTTTCGCTGTGTGTAAGAAATCGAAATGTTTGGAAAATAATCCTGCGATAGAATTGTCTAACAATTTTCCTGCTCAGATATACAGCTGACTCCGTCCGTTGCAACCATTGTTTTCAACGTTCTTCGAAGTATTGATTGTGACGTCACAATGACGCTGCACGTGCAATGACCCTCCGGTGAATACGGCTTCAAATCCAGTGAATATGTAGTATTATGAACCGTTTGCGTTTGTATAGATTATATAGGGACTATTTATAGACTATATAATAAAGTAATATATGGCTTTCCATTTTCTTTATATAAGACCCTTCAGTAATGATAATCTACATAATCAAGCAATACTGTTATTATTTGCTATGACTATGATAATGTTACAAATATACAACTGCCTAATTTAATACAAGTGTTACATCTTACCTACCTGTATGTAAATACGCCTACATTATCTTACCTATGTAAATACGTCTAGAATATCTTCCCATTAACAAAAGAACAAATACATGTAATGGAATTAGGTTAATGATGAAAACATAACCACCCCACGCTGACACCTGAAAGAAAAAGCAAACATTTATCATTACTGTTTAAGTTCAAAAGTACCGGTACCTATATCTTTATGCCAATAAAAAAATTCGTACTTGCTATATTTTTACAGTTACGTCCATTAAAATTTCAAACTTTTCAAATACTTTAAAGATTATTTACAAAATATCAAAATAGAAATGACAGAAATGCCCCCATTTGTTAATATCACATTAAATATCCTTTTCCTACATATAATTCTGTGAATGAGTGAATAAATTTTTAGATTCATTTCTGACAATCAGCAAAGACAAAGATATAAAGTTGTGAATATCATGTACCATACAAAAATAAAATAAATCTGAAAATATCACTTACCATATAAAAATATGATAAAGCTGTGAAAATGGCCCAATTCATGGACCCTGTTTTTACTGCTTTTATCTATAGTATTTAAAAAAACAGATACAATGCCATATGTCATTTAATTTAATTTTATCTAATGTGATCTAAAATCTAATTACAGGCAAACCTTGTTATCTCGAATTCAATGGGGCTGAGAAAAAACTTAGATATCTGTGGATTCAAGATATCCCCAGTAAAATACTTAAGGAATAAGGAGATTGGACTTCCAAATCACTTCAACATATCCATGGTATTCGATATTTCCGTGTTCGAGATACTAAAGTTTAACTGTATTTATAATGTCAATTTCAGAAAGTAAAAGTTTTCCTTCAACCATAGAAATTTATGAAAGCTTGAATAGAAATTCAAAATTTGTATCAAGGTACAGATTCTACAATCAAAATAAAAAAAAGAAAACATACCCATAAATAGTATGTGAACATAAGAGCAAAAATAGCTATTCCTTCATTATCATAGCTGCCAGCTACAGATCTGCTGATGTAGCCAGGAACTGAAAAAACAAAGACATAAACTAGAAGACTGACAAGTCAGCAAGGGTCCTGTAGAGGAATATACATCTAAGGGTGCAGATTGAGGGATGAGAACATGATAACTTCATTCAAAACAACAGAAAACAAAATTAACAAGAGGCCAATAAGCCCAATGCTCACTTGAGTCACTATGGCCTACTATATATATTTCTATGTACAACTTTGATCACCTATTGTGGCACTACCCTACCCTAGGAGTCATAATCATTAATGTGAAAAAAAAAGAATTTACTTACCTGAGGATGCTTCCAGATATCAATATGACTATTCATGTCTTTGCTGTTTTTCATCAGAAGATTTGTAAAGATTTTTTCCTATATATTCCTATGTTAAACTATTGATCACCCACTGTGGCTCAACCCTACCCCCAGGGGTCATGATTTGAACTCAAAACTACATTATATAAGGAAGCTCTCATAATAAATTTCAACTCTTCTGGCCCAGTGGTTCCTGAGGAGAAGGTGTTTAAAGATTTGTTTTCCCTATATATTGTAAAGTAAAACTTTGATTGCCTATTGTGGCCCCACCCTACACCTGGGGGGAGATGACTTGGACATACTTGAAACTACACATACCTGAGGATTTTTTCACATCAATATGACTTTTCATACCTTTGCTGTTCCTGAGAAGAAGGTTTTTATGATTTGTTCCTATATGTAAAACTTCGATTGCCCATTCAGGGTTGCAAATAACATTTAAAACCTTAAAAGCCATGTGGGCACCCAACTTTACAAGTTTTACTAGCCCACAATGCTATTTTGGGGCCCACAATTTTCTCTCCACTTAAAAATTAATCAAGATCTTCTCATTTTAATCTCTGAGAAGTATACTTTGTTGTCCTCATTTTAATCTCTGAGAAGTATACTTTGTTGTCCTCATTTTAATCTCTGAGAAGTATACTTTGCTGTCCTCAAGTCTTTCATTCCCCTGATGATTTTAACACCATGAATCACCTTTGGATACTTTGTGGCAAGTTTGGTTGATTGGCCCTGTGGTTCTTGAGAAGAAGTAAAAAATGTTGAAAAGTTTTCAGATGGACAGACAGACAGATGGATGCCAGACAAAATGTGATCAAAAAAGCTCACTTGAACCCTCATTGAGTAACATTGTTTAAAATTGAGTACATATTAAAATTACTGTACAGAAAAGTAAGAGTTAATATTATCATTTTGTTGACTGAAAAGGAAAAAAAATATAACACCTGCTCTAAAAAAAAAATGCCTGCCACTTCGAAATTGAAATCTCCGGCCAGAGAAACTAAAAATTAATTTTTTGGCCTTATTTATATTATTTTGAACAAGCATTTTTTACAACAAAAAAAAAGAAGAAAAAATACAATGGTTCTGTTCTGTTTGTCTGGCAATCAATTGTTCATGATACAAACCCTTTCAAAGCTGTTGCAACATCTGTGTACATTTAAAAATATCTACTGCAAATTTATCATATGGTATCCATATATAGAAAAATTGAGAAACTCTAGAATCCAAAGAAATGAGCTTCATAATATTCATGTTGTCCAATTTTATGACTTACCAATGGCAATAAAACAAGCAGCAAACAAGCCTGCTCCAGCACTCCATATTTCTTTTGTAAAGAAATACACAGCAATTGCTGTCATTCCACTGTTAAAGAAAGGAGAATTCAGAATCAAACATAACAGTTGCTGATCCATGTTAATTTATACATCATTAAAGGACAGCTCAAAATGTCATTACTTGGTAAGTTCTCAGAAGAATAGTAAAATTTTCTTGAGAACATTCAAGTCACCAGTCTTCAGATTCCATAATGCTAACAACATCATTAGATCATTTACTTTATATTTACATATTCTAGATTTCTTTTAAAAAATCTTTCAAAGGCCATCTTTAAAAGAATGTTTGTTTGCCCTATCCTGACTTAGGGTAAAAAAAAAATTGGGTCGGTGGGTAGGTGGTAAAATTTTTTTTCATGAAAATTTCAACATACTTGTTGACGAGATGAGAAGATTCTGGGGAAAAGAGAATTAAAAAATTTTCTTCCAGGTTAAAAAAAGTTTAGAGTTGGGCCATTTTTAGCCATTCGGTTGGGAGAAGGCAAACAAACAATTTATTAAAGATGGCCTAACCTATGCATTTTTAAAAACTATCTATTAAGGAGTAATTTCTGCAATTGTTCTGTATTTTGTCATTCCATATCCATAATACTGAACAGAATCTCAAAATTCACACAAAAAAATGTTACCTTTGAAGGACAAAAGAGCAAAAATAAGAGAGAGAGAAGGGGAGAGGGCATATATTTTGAAGATTTGTTGACTGTTTAAAAAGATTTTGAATTTCATTTTATAAAATTTTCTCAATAGTCATGTTAGGTTTTTATAAGTGTAGTCTTTGTTTACCTAAATATTGGTGCTAAAAAAACGCATATATCTCGTATATGCACTGGAATATGTAGCATGTGAAGGATCCAATGTATTGTACCAGAGGTAACCATCAATCCAGGATACACCTATATACAATAAAAAATACATATCTAATGTGCATCCTTTAAAATCAATACCTTCCTTCCCTCTGCTCATAAAGATAACCTATAAAATACACTGACTTGCTACATCAAATATTAAACTGATGAAATCTGGAAAATATCTTCCAATTACACTAAACATGCTTAAGGGTGACTTTTATGAGTTAACATGTAGATAAATATCATCTATTTTTCTTCTGCTTTATCTTGCTATTGCTGATAAAACAGAAAAATTGATTTTTATTTTTTTTAATATTAATTGCACAACAGAATTACAGAATTATGGAGTGGGCTTTCTAACATTTTTTTTTAATTGTTAAATTAATTGTACTATAATTTAATTTGTAAATTTTCCACATTAAATGTATCCTGTATAATTTAAATTAAAAAGAGATAAAACAATGTTCTTTGCAAAGGCCAAACCTTTTCTCATAGACAAAATCTGAACCGACAATGTAAAATGTGTGTTTATACTGTGGTACTTTCACAAAACTGAATCATGCTATACCCCTAGATCAGCCTCAACAATTCTTTCTAAAGGATACCATGCTGTAGCCGAGAAAGCAATGAACTTACCGTTCCTCCCACGATTCTTCCTAGAGGATACCATGCTGTATCATCAAACCAATTCAGGAAGTTGTAGAAACCATGCTGTACCATATAATGAGTGGCTCTGTAGTTAAACCTGCAAATATCGAAATATTTAATTACATCAATCTTCATTTCTATTTGCACACTTTTTGCCACTGACATTTTTATTGTGCAGTGTGAAAGTTATTGACAATCTAGATCAAATTTAATACCTCTTTTGAGGTCTCCACTTAAAATCACTTTTTTTAAATCAGACAGTGCAAGAGCTACTAATTTGCAGGTCCTAATTTACAACATCGTTTTTACTTTTTCCAGTCTTGTAAAATAACATATTCTTATTAATTCTTTAATTTACAAAAGATTAATCGATTGAGATTAATGAAACATCAGTGCCAGTTACACTGCTACATAGATCACATAAAAACAAAGTCAAGGAAGAAAATCTCTGAAGAACATGTGCACAACTGCACGATTGTTTACCATGGATCAAACTCGTGAATGATGCTTTCAAATCGAATGACAGCAAATAATCGAGAGCTAAATCCAACAAGCCAAGCTAGAGATAAAATGAAGAATGTAAGCAGACTCTGCAGAGCTCCCGGTCGCCACATATTCGAGCGTATGTCGCTTTTCACACCGGCGTCCGCCATGACAGTATACTAGCTTCCGCCACGTCATACTGCCAGCCAATCGGTGAATGGCAAAGTGCACGAAAAGCAAATCGATAAGCTAGCTCTTTTGACAAATGTTTCCATTGAACTGTTGAATTTGTTGGCAAAATTGTCAAAATTTATATATTCGATGTTGTCCTTAAAAGAAAGTCAATAGGCTGGTTGTGCTTAGAGGTTTGTCCAGGGCTAAACCCTGGTAAAGGGGCCCAGCTAGGCCAGAGGGCGAAACTCACATGATAACTGTGGTCCGTGGTTTTAGTTTTTTGGTTTTTTTAGAAGGGTTTGCGAGTTATTTTAGCTTTACTTTATTATGATGAGAGTGATATCTATAAATTATTTTTAAAAGTCTAAAGATTCCTTTTCGGTATGTGTACAGTGTTCTACACAGGGACGTAGCATCGTTTTTGAAAGGGGGGGCAGCCAGAGAAAAAAAAATTCAACTTACCTAAAAAAAACTTGACAAGCAAAAAGAAAAAAGAAAGAAAGAAAGAAAGAAAAGAAAAGAAAGAAAAAGGAAAAATTGTCCGAACTCGAAAATCCTATTTGGGGGGTGGGGGGTGGAATATTTTACTATTCTACAACAAAAAGTGGGGGGGGGGGGACAACCGGCTTTTCAATTGACATTTCAAATAGTAAAAAAAAGCCCCCCGGCCCCTCTTGTTGCTACGTGCCTGCTACATTTTCGGGTACAGAACGGGGGGGGGGGGGAGGGGGGCTCTAAATCCGCCACTGAGAGAGAGAGGAGGAGAACAGATCCAGGATTTTAAGTCATAGGGGCTGCTAGATGATTTAGACAGGGATCTGACTTGAGGCCCCCAGGGGTTGCTCCACACATGGCTCCATGCTAGGGCAGGGCAAAGCCCCAAGGGGCGGATCCAGATTTTTTTTTCCAGGGAAGGGGGGGGGGCACATCAACTGTAAGCAATTATATCTACATAACTTGTAGTTTCTGGAAAGTGCTGCCACCTATTTTAAATAGAACATGATTCGGTTTCTCGAACACTAATACAATTGTATCTCAAATACCTTGGATATGTTGAAGTGAGGTAAAGGTTCAATCTTCTCTTTTTCTATGTATTTCGTCGCCCGCGTGGCGCAGTGGTTAGAGCGTCTGCTCTAGAGTCAAGAAGTAAGGAGATGATCCTTAAGTCGCGGGTTCGAATCCCACTGCGGGACCTGGAGACCGGTTATTCGGATGAGACCGTATAAACCGAGATCCCGTGTCGCAGTAGGTGCTGGCACGAAAAATATCTCTCACTGCTCAATGGCCCTAAGTGCTGAGTATAGGTCAAAATTTGTAGCCCTCCACCGGCAAGTGGTGGCGTCTCCATATGAGTGAGAAATTCTCGAGAGGGACGTAAAACAACAAACAATCAATCTATGTATTTCAACCTCAATATCTCGAATCCTCGGATATCTCGAAGTTTTATCTTGGTTCCATCAAGTTCGAGTTAATGAGGTTTGACTGTTCATGTTTTACTGTTTAACTGTCTAGTGTGGTGCAAGTAAAATGCTCATGCAAATGTAGCAATAAAAAATGTACAGCCAATCTTATTGTTTAACTGCAGTGATTCGAATATCCCTATCGAAAGTCCAAACTTCGAATGACAATATCTGTATAATTTACATCCACACTGAATTTTTTTCCTAAATCCGTCTGTATGAAAGATTTTTAAGAAGCGTCAGGTTAGCCGTTTCAATATAATGTAAACACATTTATAATTCAATATCTTGCGTATTTTTACATCCTTTACATGAATAATTATAACTACACAAGTTAATATATACAATAAAAAAATGCCATTCTTTCTGTGTTTATGCGGGTATAAACGGTTGCAATCATTGCAGAAAAATGTACAAAACCCGCTAAGGATATACATGTATTTTTTCTGCAATGTTGCATCTGCTAATCCCCATATGAATTAAGAAACATTTTATTGTTTAAATCGAATTAATACCACTATTTTCATGTATAAATTGATAACCTTATCACTATTTTCCCAGCACTTTCTGGTATCATGTATGGAGGCTAATCGTGAATTTAAAAAATGCAGACGTGTAAATTCATAGTTTGTTTCTTGAAAATCGTATACCCCGATAATACCCGTATCTCTACAATTTATTGTAATTTGTTGATCTCAAACTCTTATCTCAACACTGTACTGTGTAATTCTTGAGTTTCCTTTCTATACTTCACACCTTGTATCTAAATCTTTGAACCGTCATATTTTAAATTAAGTTACTGTGAAAATTCAAAACTGTATCATTTCGATCCGATGTTTTCTCAGACGCGTCCATGTCGAATTGCACCTGTCCATTTCATTGTCTATCAATAAATGTTTTTACCTTTACAGTAACAGATTGAAATGACGTAAGCTGCATATTTCCAATCTTGCCAGTTAATGTTCGTGGTCTTCATAATTAATAATGTACATGTACTACATTGTTTGCCAGTTAATGTTCGTGGTCTTAATAATTAATAATGTACATGTACTACATTGTTTGCCAGTTAATGTTCGTGGTCTTAATAATTAATAATGTACATGTACTACATTGTTTGCCAGTTAATGTTCGCGGTCTTAATAATTAATAATGTACATGTACTACATTGTTTGCCAGTTAATGTTCGTGGTCTTAATAATTAATAATGTACATGTACTACATTGTTTGCCAGTTAATGTTCGCGGTCTTAATAATTAATAATGTACATGTACTACATTGTTTGCCAGTTAATGTTCGCGGTCTTAATAATTAAATATGTACATGTACTACATTGTTTGCCAGTTAATGTTCGTGGTCTTAATAATTAATAATGTACATGTACTACATTGTTTGCCAGTTAATGTTCGTGGTCTTAATAATTAATAATGTACATGTACTACATTGTTTGCCAGTTAATGTTCATGGTCTTAATAATTAATAATGTACATGTACTACATTGTTTGCCAGTTAATGTTCGCGGTCTTAATAATTAATAATGTACATGTACTACATTGTTTGCCAGTTAATGTTCGCGGTCTTAATAATTAAATATGTACATGTACTACATTGTTTGCCAGTTAATGTTCGTGGTCTTAATAATTAAATATGTACATGTACTACATTGTTTGCCAGTTAATGTTCGTGGTCTTAATAATTAAATATGTACATGTACTACATTGTTTGCCAGTTAATGTTCGCGGTCTTAATAATTAAATATGTACATGTACTACATTGTTTGCCAGTTAATGTTCGCGGTCTTAATAATTAATAATGTACATGTACTACATTGTTTGCCAGTTAATGTTCGTGGTCTTAATAATTAATAATGTACATGTACTACATTGTTTGCCAGTTAATGTTCGCGGTCTTAATAATTAAATATGTACATGTACTACATTGTTTTCAAGAAAGATTTGCCAAGTAAAATCACTAATTGCTACTATTGTTTGTAAAAAGACTAAATTCTTGAAATAAAATACTGATGTTATTCATTTCTTTAATACATTATTTTATTTTTTGGTTGACATGTTTACAGCAGAGCACAATTTACGATACACTCCAAATTATTATTCCCATGCTTAATTAATCACACAGTCAAGTTTTTAATATAATTTAGATATTTCTTGGAACTGCAAGAAAAAAAATAATAGTTATAAATGTGTATCTTGTAAAATTAAGCAAAATAACATTGTTCATTAAAAAATTTAACATTTTTTCATTTAAAAAGGTACAGTGGTTTTATACATAAGGCCATATAAATCTAATTTTTAGTTTCTCGTACAATATTATACACCAAAAAAAAATGAGAGGGTGGGTCAAATTCCATCTTTTATTATTTGAAATATCTAGTATATCATATTTTTATACATAATGCTGGAATTCTCTCACAATTTTAATGTTTATATGAGTGCAAGACACATTTTTTCAGTTTTGAATTATTCTTTAACTTCTACAACAGGCTGTTCTGACTGTTTTGTAAACAGACCCTTGATCTTTTGTAGAACCAAATTTCAGATAGGACAAATCAAGAGGGGCTGTTGGGGATGATTACCTAAAAACTAATTTTATATGGCCTTAAGGCAAACTCTTTGGTAACATTTTTGTCACAGAAGCATATACAAGTCTCCTCCAACCTTACCTCAAATTCTACTTCACATCTCAATTGATATCAGAGAAAGTTAACATTTGTAGAGGACAGTTGTAAATGAAATATAGATTATAAAGTCTTCTTCTCATCTTCCCTTAAATTCTACTTTATCAAATCTTATTCAATAAATATCAGAGAAAGTTTAAGTAGTTAAAGGACAGATGTTACTGGTATAGATTACAAGGGTGATACCAGATATCATACCAGATAACATCTGGAAACCCCACTGTAGTCTTATTAACATGTATCACCACAGTTCTTTATTTCTTCACCTTGCCTTTTGTGTTGTTCTTTTTAGGTTTGGTGTATTTAGCTTCTAATTGTGAGAAGAAATCGTCTGCAGCTTGTTCTCTCGTCTGTTGTTTTTTCTGTATCAAGGCTTTCAATGATTTGTCATTATCAAGTCCAATTTTTTTAGCCTCAATTTCTGCTTCAGCAGCTTCAGCTTCATGCTGTTGGGAAAAAATATTTCTAAGTAAAGACTTTTTTCAATAACATTAATTATATTTGTGCTAATTTTCTTCTTCTTAAAAATTATAGCATTGAAAAAATGATCAATATAATTAATAAAATAGTTCTAATTTTAGGATCATCAGTTCTACAAAAACATACAAAAGAGAAAAAGCAATACAGGTAACTCTCGATACCTCGAAGTCCGTAGGACCGAGGAAAAACTTCGAGAGATCAAGAGTTCGAGTTTTCAAGAGTCCGGAATTTTCCAGGATTGTTGACAGGTTTTAAAATTAGTCTTACCGGATGTAAGGATTTTCATGCAGTGCTAACCTTTTACACATGGATTTTATAAAACAACGATATTTTTTCGTAATTCAGATGAATATTTTATGAAACTGAGTAAAGCAAAAAATGTACACGTCATTTCATATTTATTTATTCTTCGTAATGCGGACAGACTATGCATTCGTTACATGAAAACGACATTTTACAGCGTCGTACATAGCTCTGACTATTCCAAAAATGATCATTGAACGCAGTTCTGTAAGTATTTGGCCAATAATAGTCGTCATATGGACATTGAGGCTGTTTCTGCTTTTTTCATATTTCGTTAAACTTTGACACTGACTCGAAAAAAAAATTAAATTAGTGTTTTTTCTTTTAATCAATTACTACTTTTCAATGACACTGCGTCTCTAAATTATCGTAAGACAGTCGATGATAATTATTTTAATAGCATAGAGGCAAAATAGGATTAATTATTTTCAACACAACTGAGTACATGTGGTAGCCCATAATGCACTGCGACTCATTCATCAGTGGGCTGTGGGTAAAGTTAACAGATAGCTTATTTACATGCAAATTTATGCTGACGTCAGAAAATCTAGTGGTCTCGACCTGATAAACATCCCGTTCCTCGAGACCCGCGTCTTCTGCCTGGGGCCATTTAAATGTCCATGTAAAGGTGCTAATTATATAATCTTGTATACACATAGCCACTTCGAGGTATCGAGGGTAAATTTTAATAGAATATGAATAGCGGGACTGCATTTTGACTTCGAGGGATCAAGGGTTTCGAGAGATCAAGAGTTCGAGAAATCAAGAGTAAATTTGCTTAGTTATATAGTGGAAAAATTCGGGACCGAAGACTCACTTCGAGCGATCAAGAACTTCGAGAGTTCGAAGTTCGAGCCATCAAGAGTTACCTGTATAGTGATGATCATATAGTCTACATAAAAAATAAATGTATACAAGTATATTTTTAAGGCATTTCAGGTAATTTATTTGGACGATGATATTTTAAATGTACATATACATATTTAGATATATTTGAAATGAATTTTTTTTTACTTTTCTCTTCCTCTCAGCTTTCTTTTTCTTTCCTTCCTTTGAAAAAGCTGGAAAATCTGGGATTTCCTTTTTTCTAATTAATTGTTTTAAAATCTTTGTAAATCTTGCTTCATCTTCAATGGTTGCACACATTACACTATCAATAATGCCATCCATGTCACCTTCACATTCTATATATGCTGTCTTTAAATCCTCAAGCTCTTCTTCTGAATCTAAAAAACAAGAGGCCCTTGTGCCACAATGCCCACCCGAGTCATTATATGGCACAGCTGTTCTTCATCATCAGATTTCAAATTATTCACCACTGAATACAGGGTTATTTTCGCCCCATGTTATTTTCACCCTTTCACACTTTCAAACAATTATGCACCATTTTAAATTCACCTGGTCACGGTTCTGTTTAAGAAATTATACTGTCTTTGAATTAACCCCATTTTAAAATTTGCCCAATTGTGAGTAGGGCAAAAATAAACGGTGGTGAAAATTTCCCTGTATACAGTATATATTCCTTGGTAAAATTTTGTGGACCCATCCAACCCACGGTTTTCATGGTTTAAACAAACCTAAATTTACACTACCTGAGAATGCTTCAATCAGCAATGATTCTGTGAATTGGTCAAAATATCTTAAATAGTTTGGGGGTCGAGGGGCTGATAAAATCTGGGCTTTAGCCATCCAAAAGTAGATTTAAATTAGTAACGAAAATTGAAGTGTGATATTTGTTCAACAACTTTTACATCCTGACCTGGCTGAATGAACCGCCACACCATTTAAAGGAAGTCTGAATCATCCCTATGTTTGTCTTTACCTTACTTCGAGATAAAAGCAAATGTCCGAATGATGCAGACTAGATAAAACACAGACTAAAAAATTTGAATTTTTTACCCAGACTAAAATGGCAACCAGTCGCTGCAAAAATAGAAAGAACTGAATTATCAGAAAAACACTCATAAATATTGGATTCTTGGATTCAAATTAGCGGAATTCTGCTAAATATCAGAACAGAATCATCACTGTTCAATATCAGTAAGACTAAACAGGCCTTTGATTTTCTTGAAAAAAAGATTTTTAAAGATCAATTCCTTTATTTTATATGTAAAATTTTGATCATCCAATGTGGCCCCACCCTTCCCCTGGGGGTCATGATTTGAACAAATTGGAATCTACTCTGCCTGAGGATGCTTCTACATCAATATGACTTATCACGTCCTTGCTATTCGCAGGTGAGTTAAGGCTAGGAATAGGCATTTCTATGCAAATAATCTAATTAAAATGCCTAAGGACTATATCTATTATACAGAGAAAGTTAAAACTTATTGCCTAATAAATACTTGGTATCCACAACATGAGATAGCTAGTACACATTATGACGTCATATTATGACATCATTGTTCTTTACTACACAATATTTTAATGGATATAATAAACAAAAATGCTTTGGCGCAAGGGCATGCTCTATTTTATTCAACTGAAACAAGGTATATTTAGAAGCAAAATATTCCAAAGTTTGCTGGTATTGCTGCACAAATATGAACACCTCAGTTGTATAATTACTATTTGTAAATTTTAAGTTGAATAAGGGTAAAAATATACAGTCCGGTATAAGTTTCCTCAAATTCCGATCAAATGAGAAAATGCCTAGGATTTGTGCAGCAGTTTAACTAATCTATAGAATATTCTTTTTAGCACTATACAATCTTTATGTAAAAATAAATAAGGTAATCCCTTGCGCCGAAACTGTTTTGTTGATGTGTTTTATAACCTCCAGTAGGTAAGATCAGTGACGTCATAATATGATGTCATAATGTGTACTGGATATAACATATCGTGGGTACTAAGTATGCATAAGAAAATAAATCAACACTTTCTCTGAATAATAAATATACCTCTTATGCGTTTTTATTGGCTCATTTTCATAGAAACGCCTATACCTAGCCTTAACTCACATGTGTTCTTGAGAAGCAGATTTTTTCCCCATATATTCCTATGTAAAACTTTGACTGCCAATTATGGCCTTACCCTATCCCGAGATCAGGGTTTGAACAAACTTGAGTCTACTACCTGAAGATGCTTCCATATCTTTAGGACTAATCATGCCTTTGCTATTCTTGAAAACAAGATTTTAAAATTCTTTTTTGCATATATTCCTACATAAAACTATATTACCATCACCATTATGGCCCCATCCCTACCCTGGGGGTTAGGGCTGTCACGGTTCCAAAATTTTTCGGGTCGGGTCGGGTCTGTAAATTTTCGGTTTCGGGTTTTTCGGGTCCGGTATTTACATCTATTTTAAACCTTAATTTCATGAATTTAACTTGAAAAATTTGTTACATTAAATTTACATTGAAAACGTCTAGACATTGGCGACTTGGCCTACTATTAGTCACAACCTGACCATTCCTGCTCGTTTTGATAATTATCTAACACTTCCGTGACAAGTGTTTTGTCATGGAATGAAGTAAATTTCAGTTGTGACGTTTATTTATCAATATTTACATTTGCAAATGTTTTCCCTTATATAACACTATTGAAAGCAACGTGTTTCTATATCCGTATAAACACAGGTTCCTCGCGTCATAAACGTTCAACGTAATTTCTCAGTGACATCATAAAGGGTCGACGCGCAAACAATGGATCAAATACGTGCCGCTGAGTTTGAAAAATAAAACATTTCATGCGTCAAAGATTATAATCAGGAGAATATAAAATATGAATAAGTCATAAATGTAAATATAAGTAATAATGTATCATTTTTGAACATCTATCGGATATAAATATGGGTTGGTACGAGATCAAATTTACCATAACACTCTTCGGGCTTTATGGAATTTGATCTCGTGACCAACCCGTATTTATATCCCGAAAGATGTTTAAAAATGATACCTTATTTCTCAACTGTTATTGTCATCATTCCTTTGATTTCGACGCCATTTTTTGTATTGAACAGGCTCTAATATATAAACCAGACCCGAACCGAAATCCTGAAAAATGGAACCGGAACCGAACCGAACAATTTGGACCGCGGTTCTCGGTTATTTCGGGTACTTGTGACAGCCCTACTGGGGGTTCATGGTTTGAACAAACTTGAATCTACACTACCTGAGGATGTGTTCATATCAATATGTCACAGGTGGTGAAAAATCAAGTCTCAACCGGGACTTGAACCCAGGGCCTCTGGCATATCGTGCCACTCTGACCACTGAGCTATTGAGACCCGATATATTGACTGACTTTCACACACCTGTGAATCCTGTGACAAATATGTTACCATACCTTTGTTGGTCTTGAGAAGGTTTTTAAAGACCATTCCCTACATATTCCTTTGTAAAACTTTGATGGCCTACTGTAGCACACCCTACCCACAGGGTCTTGATTTGAACAAATTTTTATCTACACTACCTGAGGATGCTTCCATATCAATATGACTAGTCATGCCTTTGCTGTTCTTGAGAATAAGATTTCAAAGACTGTTTCCAATATACATATACCAGTATTCCTATTTACTATTTTGATTGTCCATTATGGCCCCACAGCACCCTACCCCCAAACCCACAATCCCCCCTCCCAGTCATGATTTGAACAGACTTAAATCTACACTATGTATTGAAGTTTTCACATGTTTCAAATCTTCTGGCCCAGGTGCTCATGAAAAGAAGATTTTTAAATATTTTCCTATATATTCACATAAGTTTTATCTTTTCTGGTCTAGTGATTCTTGAAAAATGTTTTAAAACATGCCATTAAAATTTCAATAATTCTCAATTATCTCCCCTTGAAAGAGGGTGTGGCCCTTCCTTTGAACAAACTTGAATCCCCTTCACCCAAGGATGCTTATAGCAAATTAGGTTGAAATTGACCCAGTGGTTCATGTGATGATGACAGCATTTACTACAAACAATGGACTAATTTTGATCAGAAAAGCTCACTTGGGCCTTTGGCTCAGGTCAGCTAAAAAAGTTATTTCTGTAATGGGAAAAATAAGCTGAATAAAAAAAAAGTGCAACCTTGATAAGTTGTTGGTTCAGAACTGTGTACATTTTATATATAGCACCAAAAAAATTGATTTTCATGTACAATTGTTGATATATACGTAATATAAGTCAGTGGATTAACGGGGAAGGGGCATAAAGACTCTTTAAGAAATGATCATTTGTGTATAAACATTCAAAGCTGTGCTATTGAATTCTGACACTCTACAACAACAAAAAAATGTGAAAACCAGTCTGGTGAGGATTAATATTTCCTTATCTTACCAGTATTAAAATCCTTTAATACCTTTTCTTCATAGTTTTATAATTCATAAATTTCTGAAATTTCAATGGCCACTTCCAAAAGTGAGAAGTTCCCCACCTTTATATTCTTTCTGGAATGATTTGATGTCTTCCTCTGTGACCTTTTTAAATAGCAATCTCCAGTAATCACTCCAGTCCCTGTCCTGTTGTACAATGTCCTCATCTTCAACATCACCTTCAGGAAGAAAAAACAGTTCTCACTTCTCAAGATTTCTTCATAATTCCCTAAAAATAACCCCCACTCCCTTCCCACAGGGGTGATTTTAAATACCTTAAAAAAGAACTCTAAAAATTTTACTGCAAATTCCCATGCCCCGAGTCTTGTTGAATTGTAATTGGTTGATGGTTGTAACAACTCTGCTCATGAGCATCTGTTTTGTTGAGTATGAAAAGAATGGCCATGCATATACCATATACAGTCCTAGCAGTAAAACTTTATAGCCCAAAGAATATTTCAATAACTTCTGGGTCATGTAGCCATAATCTTCCACAAACAACTTTGCTATGAATCCTCACACAAGCAATCTTTGTACCAAGTATGAACTGTTGATACTCCTCCAACATAAAATTTGTGTTTAAGATTTTAGAATACCTCACTTCGGAAACCAGTTAACCTTCAGAATTTGACACTTCTGAATTCAGAGACCTTGAATCATAATCAACCCTGAGGGCAAGTTTAATCTTCTAAAACATTCCATTACAAAATTATGCTAAGGACAAGAAGTTTACACTTCAAACTCAGTAACATTGACTATTTTGCAGGGTTGTTTTAACAGTGACACTCTCTAGCCACAAACAACATTTATACCCAGCATACCAGTAATCTTCAAATGTTTTCCCAGCTTCATTATGGTGCCAATGTATGATGGTGTTTATCCAAAACCTTCTACCTTGACAAAATTACTATACAATTATGGACTCTTTCGATGGTGAATATGGTTTGTTATTCACCAGAAAAATATCAATATTGACCAAGGGGAAGCCGAGGTCAATATTGATATTTTTCTGGTGAATAACAAACCATATTCACCATCAAAAGAGTCCATATCGAAATTTTTGGAAAATTTTGCCTAACAATTTTCCTGCTCAGATATACAGCTGGCTCCGGCCGCTACACAACCCTTGTTTTCAACATTGTGTGAGGTATTAATTGTGGCGTCACATTGCCGCTGCATGCGCACTGACCCTCCTTCAAATCCAGTGAATATGTAGTATCATGAATTGTTTGCGATTGTATAGATTATAAAGGGACACTTCTAATCAGTAACAAACTAAGTTTGGGAAACATAATTAACTAAGACCTCTAGGTAAAATTAAAATAGCTTTAGCAACCTTAATTAAGCAACAAATAAACATGTAAACCATAATAATGTCTTCAAAAAGCAAAAGTTGTGCTTAACTTTGATCATGTTGGTGGTTATAAAAATGTTTTTATACCTATAAACATGATGAAGATTGTTACCTGGGTGATAGTTGATTTTTGCCCTAAGCAACAACAATTTACAAGAATATGTCAAAAGGATATTTACATGATTACATTGGTAGATCAATACTAACAAAAATATGTATTTCAGCAATACATGCAATACTAAGTACATTCTATACCTGTCTCATCATACACTGCTCTTTTATCCTTATCTGACAGTATACTGTAGATACGACCCAGAGTCTGGAATTTTTTTGTTGCTTCCTCTTTCTTTTCTGTGTGAACACGGTCAGGATGAACTTTCAGGGAGACTTTATGATATCCTTTTTTCACTATAACACAAATGACAACAAAATTGAAATTCATTATTTATTATTTAACCAACTAACAGGGTTGTCCTTAAGACCCGGGGGCCGGGGAATTTCCCAGCCTACAATGACATAATTCCCCGGATACTCTGGTATTCCCCCTGAACCCCCTGTTAAATGTATGGGAGAAACCTCAGACCCCCTTCTACTTCTTTAATGTCCCCTGTTATTTCAATTCTTTGGGACAACCCTGAACTAATCACCATCCTAAGGCCTGAACCATAGACACTGGGTGTGAATTACACAATTTTTGGTACAAATAGAAGTTATTTGTACCTAATTCCAGGCTTCGGGTATTTCCCCAGAAAAAAGAATTTTATTATTATAAGAGTTTTGTTAATATATTAAGAAGTGTACTTGAACCACTTTTAATAAATTCGTTGAGTATTAGGTCTTGTCCAGGTGATTTACCAGTTTTTAGATTTTTAATGCCAAGCTTGACTTCACTGCATGTGAAAGGATAGTCAAGGGGAGTAAGTTTCTGTATTTCAGATTCAACTACATGTTCACAGGAGTTATTGCCCTTAGAGCACAGTAAGTTTTGATAGTGATTCATAAATGCTTGAAGTCCTGGAGTGGAAGAATTTGAGTTTTGCTTAATTTTATTTTTATTTAGGACCTTCCAAAAATCTTTTGAATTGTTCTGATTTAGGTTGTGGATGTTGTCAGTTATTGTCTAATAAAATTCATGTTTTGATTTCTTTTTCATTCTGTTAAAACCTCGTTTAGCATTTTACTTAAACACTAGGCTGCCAAGACTTGTATATGAGATGCGAGGAAACTGATAACTTAAACATGTTAAAATTGTATTTTACATTCACTGTCTTCACTGTACTACCTAATCTCGGCGGAGATTCAGCTCGGCTAGATATTTAGACTCGGTGAAGACCTCAGCTCAAATATCTATGGTATGATATGGGTTGCTTTTTTGATAGTCCATAGTACACATATAAATAGTCAAATACTTGCGACTTTTTGTCTACTTCTAACAAAAAACATTTTTGTGAAAACTGTATATAAATAGCTATAAGAAGCTATTTTGAATGGCTTAATAAAGCTATATAGATAAATCAAAAGATTGTGCTGGACCTGTCCATTTCCAATGGTGTGTAAGCAGTGGTAAGTGTACCACCTTTCAACAAATTACAGTCAGTCTATGTGACAGTGGACTTTTAAGCAACAAGTGGATAGGATATCTTATTAAGCTGTTAGTGTTGAGATTGATTATCTTACGAAAGTTGTATGATAATCATGATAAAGACAATACAGACTGCCTAATCGTTTAACTAACTTTAAAAAGAACACAAAATTACCATCTTTGTTAGAAGAATCCTTTTCAATGCCAAGTATTTCATATAAATTATCCGTCCCGAACAACTCTTGACATGATTCCAGTAAACTCGGCATTATTTTTTGACAAACATGAACAAGCAGCTTCCCGCGTTTTCAATTTGAATTATTTTACCTTTTTCTATTGAAGAGTGATGTCGATTATAGATATTGCGTACCAAGAGTCATTCCATTACTTTAATGTCGTTGAAAGCCATATATGACGTATTTTTGATAAGTTCAGATAACCAAAATTAAAAAGATATTTCTATTTGTTTTATTACTTTATATAAAGATAAGACTTTTCTGTAAATTACACAATTTAAATCAATCGCGTTTCAAAAGATATCAAAAATTAAAAACAATAACTGATTTATTTACCGACTCCACATTTAAATAACAGACAAATTTAAAGTCAGTTTAACCATAGAAACTGAGATTATTCAAGTTCAAAATCGTTGAAAATTTTAATATGAACGTAAATAACATATATCATGTATATCTATACTTAATCTCAAATTATTAATTTTTTGCTCAGATACGCCATATATAGCTTTGAATTTTCCAAGTAATTCATTGCAGAGACATAAATAACACATTATTTTTGTCTCTGATCATTGCCTGTTTTAAAGAAGATGGGCGAACAAGGCGAGCGAAATGCCTATAGTGCGACAAAAAGTTGAAAAATTAAATCTCGATTATAACAAAATTTTCTTTGATATTTCATCTAACATAAAAGTATACTTTATGTAAAATCTCCATAATTTGCGAAAATCTCACAAAGATTGAAATTAATTGCTTGTGAAATAGCAAACACACGCGAAAGAGGGAAAAGGGATCATTTGCACATACTGTAACACAATTTTTCGATATGAGTGGGTATACGTCTTTGCTCCATTTCTTTGAAAGTTTATCCTCAAAGATTGCGTAAATATATACATTTTTTGGTTAACAAAAACATGGAGCAAAGACCCACTTTACCTTAAAAATACACTTTTATGACACAACATTCTCATCTTTCCGAGAAGTACTTGAAGTCCATTTAGTCAAGGGTCATACCACAAACATGATTTAAAAATGCCACTGTTCATCACGAGTTGTGTAGCGTAGTGGTTAGCGAGTTAGTCTCAAAGTAAAATGATACTAAGGATTTCTATTGCTAGGGTTCGAACCCCACAAATACCCGCATTATTTTTTAATAACAGAATAATTTTTGCAAGAAAATTTTTCTCAGAAAAGTTTTGTTTATCAGAATTTCATAAAGTTTAATAATGAGAACTTTTTATTCTAAATACTAAATTCACAAATTGAATATGATTTTTTTTTTTATGTACCGGTATCTGAAGCTATAGGCTATCTGCACCCTTGTTCACCTATCTCCTTTCCACTAACAATATTGATAATTTAACTCGTTTCATTTTCTCAAAAACAAACAAACAAACAAAACAAAACAAAAAAGAGAAACATGCAAATGGTTACAGATGGGAAATGCACGAGTGAAACCGAAAAAAGGTGTTGGAGGGAAAAGATACAGAATCACAAAGAATACAAGTTTACTATCTTTACGTAAACAGTGAAAGTCAGACGGGGGAATAACATATTTAAAGGAGATTTTTTGTAAGGATGCTTGTATACAGAAAACGAGAAAAGAGTGTATTATCTATTACTACACTGTAAAAATTGTGTTTAGGAAATAAACACTTCTATTACATGTTTAGATCTAAACGTGTATAGCATTGTGTTTAACAACTGAGCACTTAGGTCTTAACATGTTTTATATCTAAACGCGTTTAGAAATTAAACACGTTTTACTGTAAAGTGCAGAGTTATCTTCCCGGAAATGACACACATATATTTGAACGTTAATTTGAGCGGCTATCTAAACAAAGAAAACACAACAAGCTAAGGTGATGTATCAGTGAGAGTTATGACAATCCAATTCAAGGGATAACCATGACGAAATAGTGAAATACGTGAAAGGGCATCTTATTACTGAAATACACTAAAGGTTTGTTTTCTTTTTCTTTGCATTAATTAACCACGATGAGCAACGTAAATAAACAGTTAAACAAGAAAAAGTTGACTTGGGATATCTTGAATTCGTTCATAGACTTGCAGGAGAGGAAATAATATTAAATGTCATTAAAAACATCTATATTTATATCAGTATACTTTCACTAAAACTTGAACATTTTTTGTTTTTTAAAGTTATGTAAAATATCAGTGATAGTGTACTTTTTCTAAAATCTGGCTTTCTTTCCTACAGGTGCTGTAGCCCAGATCGAACTCAAAATACACGTATCAGAGTACCTGGTGTCATCTTCAAGTGCAATTTTGTTGTTCCATAATCAACACTTTGAAACTTCATTTTGTGAAGACTACTGAGTAATTCGACAGTATTTACATTTATACTCGTGCATTCGAAATGGATTACTTTCCGGCAGTTATTGATGGGATATAGATTATAATATGTGGTGCTTTGGGACTTGCTGAAAGTTAATAAAATTTGATATTTTTGTGATTGACATGGGGAAAACTCTGCAGCCGATTCAAATTATAAATGTTTATAATAAATATATAATTATATAAATATACATTTTGTATTTTTAATTTAAAAATTCTTTAATAAAGCCTTTTAGAAATAGTCAATGAAGTTTTGATATTAAATTGTTAGCTTAATATTTTTTCTTAATAATTTTGAATATTAAAAGTTTGTTATCTATGTGTAGGTTATAAATTATGTGTCATTTTGACTGAATTGTTGAGACTAATCAAATCTATTGTTCCATATCCTACATTATTTGTGTAAATTAAGTACATGTACATCGCACAGTGTCTATTGTATTGTATAATTAAATACATATCCAAACGTTCAGAGTCTTTATGGAAAATAATTTAATATCGGTTACATATTTTGAAAATTTTGACAATTATGCGCATTGAAAAGATATATACTTTCTGTGCCTACATTTACGAGAGTGTTTTGTTTTTCTGCAGGTACAAATTATGCTTATGATGTGTTTAGATATTAAACACTTCTGCTGTTACGTGTTTAGAATTTAAACGCTTGTGTTTATGTGTTTAGATATGTTTAATTTCTAAGCACACAATTGTTTAAATTCTAAACACTTTCTAAGACATGTTTAGAAATTTTACATGTTTAGGAATTAAACATATAAAAAAGGAGGTGACAAGAAAGTGTTTAGAAAAGTGTTTGAATTGTAAACACATTTCTTACAGTGTAAGCCCGAAATAGAGGAGACAGACCAGATCTGTAAACAGCGAGAAGAAATGTGGAATTGACTAATAGCTTTTTTTAATGTGTTTTATAGAGTAGGATTTCCCTCAAAGCCAGCTTCCCCCTCCCCTCCTAGAGTAAGAATTCCCCAAGGAGAAATCTTACCTCAGAGCTAAATCCCCCCCCCTTTTTTTTTACCAGAGAAGGATTTTAAACTACCTTATAAAAACTAAATTGTCAGATCGGAGCCTTTATATTTAATCCACTTTGACAATATTTTGGCTAATTAACTGATTGATGGGAAATGAGTGAATCATAAATTCATTTATTAAAGTATATGAATTCTAACTCGAAAATAGGACCGAACATGAAAAAAGAAGACATTGACACGTTGTCAGAATGGATTAAATGTATCAGATGTATGTTAAAAATCTCGCATCAAGCGATTGAGGGGCATTATGAAAACCATCTATCCTTCTGTGTTCAATATAGTGTTCAATAATTCAGAAATGAAAAAAAAGAATTAGGTAGATTAAACGATCAGTTTGTACTGGTCTCAGCTGACAAAGCAGGTAACAAAATTGTCTTTAATAGTTTGTAAGGCTCAATAATTTAATTGTATTTTAGAGGAAATGGGATTTAGTTCTGCAAGTGGTTATCCAACTTATACCCATAGCTCCCTTTCCAAGGAGAAAATTCTTCAAAATTATATATATATATATATATATATATATATATATATATATATATATATATATATATATATATATATATATATATATATATATATATATATATATATATATATATATATATATATATATATATATATATATATATGTCAGTTTTAAATATAAATATCCCCAACAATCAAAATGAATTTGAATTACCATACCTATACTGGATTTCAGAACTTTAAAAAAAAACTTTACAAAGATGCATAGCAGGTTCCAGTAAATGTTCTACCAAGCCCCTTTCGTCACTCCTCACTAAAATATAAACAGCATTGAAGGAGAAACTTTAGGAGTACTTTACAACAATATATTCGAGAAGTGGTGTAAATCAGATGTGGATACTTAAAAAATCCAAGGAACTTTTAGAAAATTTGAAATTACAAAATTTTACCAGAATCAAGAACACGTTATACAACCATTCCCCACGTTAAATTAAAGTCCAGGCTTTTTGTCATCATTGAAAGCTGCTTTTTCAATAAAAATGGAACTCGTAAATTTACTTACAACTCTGTACCTTGTCATTTGTAACATTATTTTGTTAAAAACATTCTGATTGTCTGATTGTACACACAAGTACTCTGAAATTGACATTAAAAGGATGCTTGAGTTTCTGCTTGACAACATCTATGTGGTTTTTGGAAATCGGGTCTTCCAACAATCTATCTGATTTCCCATATGTGCCAATGGCTCCCCGTTATTAGCAGGCCTACTTTTGTATTCATATGAAGCATAATTTGTTCAAAATCTTATATACATGAGAAAAGAAAACACTACTCGACATTTAGATATATTGACGACGTATATATGAATTAACAAAAGTTACTTCCATTAATTCATATGTTGACTCGATATATCCCATTGAGCTTGAAATGAAAGATATCACAGGGTCTGACACATCTGTTTCATATTTGGATATTTTACTAGAAAAAGACGTTAATGGTAACCTGACAACAAAGAAACGTCGTGACTTTAACTTTTCAATGGTCAACTTCCCTCACTTATGTAGCAATATACCCTTATCACCTGCATATGGGGTTTATATCTCTCAGTTGATTCGATACATATGGCATGTCAAACGTTGCAATATTCGATCTTTTCCATTTGTATTGTATAATTTTCCATTTATATTCTACAATTCTCCATTTATATTCTATAATTTTCCATTTGTATTGTATAATGTTTATTTGTATTCTATAATTTTCTATTTGTATTCTATAATTTTTCATTTGTATTGTAAAATTTTTATTTGTATTCTATAATATTTCATTTGTATTGTATATTTTTTCATTTGTACTGTATATTTTTTATTTGCATTGTATAACTTTCCATTTGTATTCAATAATTTTTCATTTATGTTGTATAATTTTTCATTTGTATTGTATAATTTTTATTTGTATTCTATAATTTTCCATTTGTATTGTATAATTTTCCATTTGTATTGTATAATTTTCCATTTGTATTGTATAAATTTCCATTTGTATTCTATAATTTTACAATACAAATGAGAAATTATACAATACAAATGGAAAATTATACAATACAAATGGAAAATTATACAATACAAATAAAACTTATACAATACAAATGAAAAATTAAAGAATACAAATTGAAAATTATACAATACAAATAAAAATTATACAATACAAATAAAAATTATACAATACAAATAAAAAATTATACAATAAAAATGAAGAATTATTGAATACAAATGAAAAATATAGAATACAAATAAAAATTTTACCATGCAAATGAAAAATTAAAGAATACAAATGAAAAATTATAGAATACAAATGGAAACTTTTACAATACAAATGGAAAATTATACAATACAAATAGAAAATTATACAATACAAATGGAAAAGATCGAATATTGCAACATTTGACATGCCATAGATACACAAGAGCATGCTCTACGTACGAACAATTTCTAAAACGAGGCAAGCTACTGACATTAAACAAGTTGATGAAACAAGAATATTAACAGTCTCGTTTGAAGTTATCATTTTGCAAGTTCTATAGTCGATACAATGACCTTGTCAGCAAATACAATCCATCATTAAGGACGACGGACCTAATTTAAAATTCGTGCCACTGCGCAGAAAACCGCGCATATGCCTTGAATCAAATTGATTTAATTATGTATTGCAAAAGATGAAAAAAAAATATACATTTTTAATTCTTTTAAAGATATTCAATCTCAAAAAATATTGTAAATATTTCGATTTATATTCATTTGTTGATTTTTTAAATAAATGATTCATTTGGCCAAGGTATTTTCATTGAAAATTTCTCCCAAAATGTGCCCTATACACCTGAGTTTGACATGCCCCCCTGAAAAAATCTAAACCGATGACCCATTAATGTTTTTGCATAATTTGCTGGTAAATTGTCTTGTTAACATTGTCCTTTAATATGAATAAAACTTCTATTGCAGAATTTTTTTCAATGATCAATCTTATACCCTACACTAGCAATTCCCAATTACTTCCTATAGTAATTATCGGTATGCCTTTTTTAAATAGTGTGTGAGAAAAACCTAAACTTTATATTATCGATCAGTTCCACATACCATCTTTTGAGCATTTGAGTCGGGCAGATCTTTAGTCAGTCGGGATGCTCGTAAAAGCAACATCAAACAAACGAAACAAATTAATATGAACAAGTTATTCTAGAAAAAAAACAGACAGAGGAAGAAACATTATAATTCCATAGATGTTTCGCTTTTCATCTAGCCAATAATATGCTTTAGAATAATTATTTAAATGAGGGGGATCTCTTGGGGAAACGCACTCTATAAATAAACCCTCCAGAATTTTGGATCTGGTTTGGAGTTTTCATGGGGAAATTCTACCCCATTGCCTTTTCTTGTGGGGGAAATCCTACTCTGAATCCTATTTTCCGGGGGGGGATCATACATTAAAAGCAGCTAGCTTTCAGAGGGAATTTTATGGGAGAAAACCCTCTCTACAAGATCGGTGGCAGTGAAATACTAGTATAAATTAAACTATACCATAGGACAACAGAACCACTTTAAGAAGTGGGACAAAGTACAATAGTGGTACAAAAGTGTACAATAGTGGGATGGGACTCACTTATTACATATACAAGAGTGGGACTAAGATATTTCATTTACATGAGTGAGACTTAGTTATTAAATGAAATATGGAGATAACGAACAGTAATCAAGCTCAAAAGTCCATTGAAACAATACAAGTCGGGAGCAGAGCAAACACGGACCTCTAAAAGTATCAGAGGTCTAAAAGGATCAGGTGCCATGGAGAAGTAAGCAGCCTTTGTCAACCGTTTATCTCCGCCGTGTGCTTCTTGTCAAGATGGGGCAAACGGAAAAATCCTCAGACTTTTTGCGCCCATCTGAATTCCTGCAGATTGTTGGAAGAAATGGTCTCCAAAGACTACGTAGATATTGTCAATGAGGAACTCCAGCATCTTTTTAATATCAATTTCAGAGTACTGTTTGTACAATCAGAATGATTTTTAGCAAAGTAATCTAATAGATGACCATTCAAAAGCTAAGAAAATTTCCGAGTTCCATTAGTATTGAGGAAGCAGTTGTCTGGTGATATCAGAAAGCCTGCTCTTTAATTTAGCGTAAGGAATGTTTGTTTAATATGTGGAAAAAGTTGTATGTTTTGATGCTACTGATGTTTGAAAAGTTTAGAGATTTTAATTTTTCCAAACGTTTTTTGGAGTATTTTAAATCCACATTTGATTTAAACCACTGCTTGGATATGTTTTAACACAATAAGCTTAGTAAGTTTCTACTTCACAGCAGTTAATATATTGGTTAGGAGTAAGCTTGGATAGAGGTTAAGCTGAACATTTTTTTGGACCTTGCAATATTTCTTTGTAAGGATTTTTAAGAAGTTTTGGAATTCAGTATAGATACGATAAATCCGACTCACGTTCATTGACTGCAGTCTTAAACGTGATTTAAACTGATAGGTGATTTTAAAGAATTTCATCCTTTGAAGGGGAACTGTGAGTATAGGTTTGGATTACCAGATGTGGAATTAAAACTAAGTTTTTCTGAAATACAGTTGTAATAATGAGCCTTGCAAACAAAAACTATATTGTTACAAGCTTTGTCAGCACATATATTTTTATGTAGTCTTTATTTCTTTCATCACTTCCAGTCTACTGAAAACAAAAGGATTTTGCCCTTAATTTTCTAGTGCGATTTTTTAAAGAAAGTGTACAAGAGTAGGATGACTAGCCACAAAATGTGAATTTGGGACTTGGATATTATTTAAAACGGTGAAACTACAAAAGTGGGATTGAGACTTTCAACGTACAAGAGTGGTTCTACGATATTAAGGACCTTACCTACTGATAATTTTTCAAGATATTCTTAATTTAAAATTTTAGTGCCATCAGATGTTCGTAGACAAAAAATCAGCATACCTTACCAGGAGTTTTGAAAAGATATCAATTGATGAAAATTCTTGTATAATTCAAAGAAATATACACAAAAATTACTCAACATAATATTCTAGATGTTTTGTTTATCCAAACTTGTTTTGGAAGAAGTATACAACAAAATATGTTTGCATTAAAATGTAGCACACATTTCCTTTTAGTATTGGAACTCTTCAACTCCAGGGAAAAAGACAATGAAGCTCAAAGTACGTTGCATATGTCCTTAAATTTACAAGAGTGGGACTAAGTTATGGAATGTATACAAGAGTGGGACTAGGAAATGTGCAAGAGATGACCTAGAAGATTTACTTTGTAGAAGGAATTACCGTAAAGTGTAAAGCATGCCCCACCAACATTAGTTGATATATACATATACGATACAGAACTTACATGTATGAATAATTGCATTTAGTCAGATAATTATAATTATATATGTTCTGATTACAACATGACTGAAGAACTCCCAATGACAGCCCATAGAGATTGACAAGGCATGCATGTATGGGATTACAACTACAAATAAAGTGAAATTCTATTGATGTGGTCAGCTGTACGTTAGAGATACATGTGTTAGATGATTAAATGTGATGAGAAAGTTATGAATATCCAACCGTTTGTCAGAAAATATTTTTGATCCAGGAAAAAGGAAAGTTGATAGGATGATGTCTTGCGCATACACAACGCTATTTAATTATACAATTATCTGCAAACTCTCATAATCACGAAAGAAGATAGAGTATTGTTTTTAGCATGCATAACACTGTCTACATTCTCCAAGAAAGAGAGAGAGAGATAGAAGATGACGATTGAAGGGGTAATTTCCTGGTCATTGGACGACATTTTGGTATATCAGTAAGAGTTCTTTTCAGAGAGTTGTGGATAACTTGGGAAATTAAGTACAAATATGAACGTGCATGAAATATCAATAAATATGTTCATTTTGCTATCTTTATTCAAATCATTTAAAACAATGTACAAATGATTGCCAAAAAAGTTACTTAACCACCTCAATATTAACTCCCACAGGAGAATGATTAGCATGCAAAAATATAAAATTTAATTAAATAATTCACAATTTTGTTGTTCAAATTCGAAAGAGACATTTTATTTTGTAATAAAGTATATTTATAAAGTATACTTGACAAAAATATTCAAGCAGTCGACATCAAAGTATTCCTTTTCTGCTCTAAAAAATAATTTAGACCTATGAATTTCAGGTCAATTGTACTAATTATTACAGCAGTCTATTTCAGATCTCCCACACGAGCGTACGTTATGTCGCTCAGGTCTTCCTCCTGGGGATATAAAGTTGCCATGCTTTCTGGTGCTACAGGGTATCTGTTCCCCTTTCTTTGTTTGGCGTACTTTTTCAAAAAGTCCATGGTTGTATCATATGCTATCTAAAAAAGGGATATAGAATCCTGAAATTTTGGATGACATTGAAAGTTAAGCTCACCGAAGCCAAACATACTAGTAGAGGCTGACTAGTATTGCTTTTGCTTTTGAGTATTTATATCCCATCAAAGGGGAGATATTTAATGAATATTGATCGCAAGTTTTGAGTTTTCAAATTCATTTCCACCGGAAGCAAAAATGTATGGTGATAAAGCTTGTATCTAGTACTTTTAGTTTAGTTTATTTAATCCTTATGTGTCTATATCCTGTGTATTTATACATATATAATGAATTCTTCTCTTTCTTTACATTGCCTGAGAATGTGTCTATATGCTGTGTATTTATACCTGTATAATGAATTCTTTGTCCTCTCTTGATATTGGCTGAGAATGTGTCTATATGCTGTGTGTTTATACCTGTATAATAAATTCTTTGTCCTCTTTCTTGATATTGGCTGAGAATGTGTCTATATGTTGTGTGTTTATTCCCACAGTCCTGTCAAGATCTTCCTCCTACAGTAGACAAATTTGTCTTTTTTTCTCTATTTACATAACATATAATTGGACACCAGCATATTATCAACACGATTTTTGTTTATTTAATGTCAATATTTTATATCCTGATAAGTACATGCATGTATAATTATTATCGAAGACATATATCCAAACAATCTGCACGGATAAAATCATATTTGGTTTTCACAACCAAGATACGCATTTTCCAGTTTGTTAAACTTTTATATACTGTATGTACATATGTACTATGTATTTTCTTCTAGTTAATGCTCTGATATTTTACCTTGAAGTATATTCTATCACACGTTCTAGTAATGGTTCCGAGTACAGATGAACCAAATGATATCACGCCGTCTATGTTGCTTCCCTCTCCGAGAAACTTTCCATGTAGTATATCATATCCTATCCCTTCCAAGAGTTTAGCAAACTTTTCATTTGTCTGAGTGAAAGAAATACATGTATATCTGTATTACACCGTTAGTAATATGTGATCAGATTCTATCAATGTATATTGCTTATCCATTCTATCCATTGCTTTATAACTATGCATGTTCATCAAGGCTTTTGTATGCTTTTTTTCTCGGGGAAAATATTCTGACAGGAAAAAGAAACGCAGGGTATACTTTGGAGGGGATTTATTTTCATTTTCAAGTATTGTTATCTAACATTTAAATTCATTTTCAATCAACATGTAACCAAAATCTTTATTTGAATTTAATTGCTAATTAATGCCTGGGTTGTTGGAACTCATTGGAGGGTACCCTCAAAAGTGAAAATCGAAATTTCTCATTATCTCTTTGCCTCCCTTGCGCATCTGTCATAACCTTGATTCTCCTCTGCATGGAGTTCATCAGTGTATTTATCTTTCTTATAGGAATACTATTCAACCCTTCCGAAAAGGCCCTTATTTGGTGCAGAGTGGGCATTCAAACCCTACCGTCTAGTTAGTGCCAGTGATGTTCGATTGGAAAAAAAGATGGGAGGCCAGTCGATTTGTTGTTTGTGAGAAAGTTAACATACTGAAAACTTAAGCATACGATACACAGGTGCGCGAGTGAGAGGCCGGTACGCCGATGTGAAGTTGATGAGCTTACAAACCAATATTGCGCAATTTTTTTTCTTCATTTTTAGGTCATTATAACGATTATGAACGCCTACTGTATTAATAGAGGTTTCAGTGGTAGTGGCGTGGTGATTACACAGGTGGCAGGATGACTAAACACATCTTGGCGTGGTGTTATTATATATACGCGACAATTTTAACGTCATCGACAAGGTTGCTTGGAAACCCTTCCAGTTCCTCTCTAACGTTCTGTCGTGGAAAAATTCACAACAAACTGCACAGCAACCTGTTACTGCATTTTCCTTTACTTAAGCAAGGTAATAGCCAGACCACTTGGAACTTCCGACAGCCGTGCCATGATTACAAGTACTAATTCAAATTGATTGTAAATATTGAAAAACGATGTATACCTCCAATTCATCAAGTAATATTAAAAGATATTTAGTCAAACCAGTCATCATCAAATTATACATTTCACGTTGAGTAATTTTGAACACTAATTTAATTGCACAGTAGCCAATTACAAAATACCCCTCTGACAAGTTTTCATATTTGTTGGCCATGCAGTCAAAAAATTTTTCGCATATTATGTTCCCCTGCGTGTCTTTTTTCCTTAAGTATATTATATACAGGTTTTTAAAATAAAGTTTGAAGCGTACAACCCTGCAAACAAAAAATAGAATTATAGAAATACTACCCAGCCACTGTTATGTGTATCAAATCTTTTCAAAATATCTTCAACCGTCACGCCTTTTCCAAATAACGTCTCCCTATGTTGTCTTGTAAACTTCTCCTACAATAGAAGAAAAATTAATCAATATATTTTATTCTATGGTGGCATTTTTCTGTCCCCTACAAGCAAGATTATGTCGACATACAAAATAATTATGTCTACATGTATGGCATGTCAAACGTTGCAATATTCGATCTTTTTTATTTGTATTGTATAATTTTCCATTTATTTTCTATAATTTTCCATTTGCATTGTATAATTATCCATTTGTAATCTATATTGTTTATTTGTATTCTATAATTTTTCATTTGTATTCTGTAATTTTTCATTTGTATTGCATAATTTTTATTTTTATTCTATAATTTTTCATTAGTATTGTATATTTTTTTTCATTTGTATTCTATATTTTTTTTATTTGTATTCTATAATTTTTATTTGTATTGTATAATTTTTCATTTGTATTGTATAATTCTTCATTTGTATTGTATTATTCTTATTTGCATTCCATAATTTTTCATTTGTATTGTATATTTTTTTCCATTTGTATTCTTTAATTTTCCATTTGTATTGTATAATTTTCCATTTGTATTCTATAAATTTCAATTGGTATATTGTATAATGTTAAAAAACAAATGGAAAAGTATACAGCACAAAATGAAAATTATACAATACAAATGAAAAATTATACAATACAAATGAAAAATTATACAATACAAATTTAAAATTATACAATACAAATGGAAAATTAAACATTACAAATGAACAAATATACTATACGAATGAAAAATTATACAATACAAAAAATTATACAATACAAATAAAAACTATACAAATGGAAAACTATACAATACAAATGGAAAATTAGAGAATACAAATAAAAATTATATAATACAAATAAAAAAATTATACAATACAAATGGAGAATTATAGAATACAAATAAAAAATTTACAATACAAATGGAAAAATGTAGAATATACAAATGGAAAATTTTACAATACAAATGGAAAATTATACAATACAAATGGAAAATTATACAATGCAAATAGAAAAAGATCGAATATTGCAACGTTTGACATGCCAATCATTTTAGAGAATATAATTTAAATGTGGGTAAATATACCTACTAACGCTACTACCTGAGGACGTCTTTAAAAAATTGTTTGGTTGCCCTCTCCCGACCGACTGGCTAAAAATGACCCGAATGAATACTTTTTTTAACCTCCAGGGAGCAAATTTTTTTTATGTATTCTGGACAATAGATTTTTAAAAAAAAGCTTTGGAATTGAAATCTTCTGAGAAAAAAACGTTCTTACCTACCTACCGACCCAATTTTTTCATCCTGAGTCGGGAGAGGGTAAACAAACATTTTTAAAAGGAAGCCTGACATCATACATGAAAGACGCAACATAATTATGTCAACATGCGACTTATGTTTGTCATAATGCGAGTTAATTGTTAACATGCGAGTTAATTATGTTAAGATGCGAATTATTTCTGTTAACATGCAACTTATTTAAGTCAACATCGATTTAATTACGTGTATGTTAACAAGTCCACCGGTCAGACCCGCCATGTGCTAATTATCATAATCTAATGATAGATTGTATAAGGTTATAGTATTAACCACATAATTTGCGAAATGTTGACTTCAAACGAGACTGTTGATAATAGTATCCTTGTTTCATCAACTTGTTAGTCAATAGCTTGTCTCGTTCAAGAAATTGTTCGTTCGTAGAGCAAGTTCTAGCGTATCGAAACAAATGGGAGACATAAATTCCATATACAGGTGATAAGGGTGTATCGCTACATACATGTATATAACGGTAGTTGACGACAGAAATGTGAAGTCATCAAGTTTATCATAAAGTTTTGTAGTTTGGTTACTATTGACGTATTTTTTTAGTAAAATATCCAAATATAAAGCAGATGTGTCAGGCTCTGTGTTATCTTTTATTTCGATTTTAGAGGGAAATATCGAATCAACGCAGAAATGAAATTACTATTGTTAATTGATATAACGTCGTCGATATATCTTATTGTTAAACCTTTAAAAATTAAATTAGTTCCTTTATAAATCTATACTTAAAAAAGTCTAACATTTCTAATGTTTTACTGAGCTGTCATAAAAAATAGATGTTTGTCCGCAGAGTGAGATATTGGACCTGTGGACGAGATATTGGACTGCTTACGTCACACTGTGGGCGGGATCAGCAAAATCTTATTTGCATTCGTCGTTATGGAAGCCAGCAAAAGATACACGTATAACTGAATAAATAAATAAATAAAAGGTATAACAAAACATTTATTGACTGTGTTCTCGGGCAAAATGCGTTTTGTCGACCCCTCGAACCAAACTGTTTCCCTTCGGCCTAACGGCCTCAGGCAAACAGTTTGGTTCTTGGGTCCGACAAAAACGCATGTTGCCCTTGAACCCAGTCAATAAATATATAATGTTGAATTGAAGGTCACAACAAGAGACTTTTTCTTCTCATGTAGGTTTTTCAAAAAATTCTACTTCATTTGAATACAGATACATGTCGAACTACTTTTCTTGAATGTTGACATAATTTATCTCGTTTAATTTAGCCCGAGGGCTGATATGGGGCCGAAGGGCTGATATGATATTTATATATATGTATGATATATGGATTTCAGTATGTAGTATTCTATTTCTCAAATGCTTAAAATACTTAATATAGCGAGTTCACATAAGGTCATTTAAGAACGTGCATTTCTAGGACCCTTTTTCTTTAAAATCTGATAGAGCCAATTTTAGGGTCTAAAAATGTTAGTAAAGAGTCATATTACATGCATATTATAAGAAATCAATTTACATGTTTGTTTTTTTTTTTTTTTTTTTTTTTTTTTTTTAAACTTGTAAGCTTTAACAAACGTCACTTCCACCCTGATAGGGGGTATCGTGACGTCACCCGTATCCCACAGTGCGGAATCGGTTTATTTACTACTAAGTTTATATATATTATATAAAATACTTAAAAGAACTAACGTCATTTAGAATTTCCCTTAGTATCGGTATTTGGATGGCATCGTTTTCATTTACATTTCTCTTCCTCATAGCCTACAAGAAAAAAACTTTTAAGCTAGAAAAAAAGACACATTATGAGTATTCAAAAGTTGAAAAATTCACTTCATCATCAGTTTTATTTGCCTGTTAAACCACACGACTTACTTGTATCAAGCGTCTGAAAGCTTCTTTTACAGTTATTTCTTCTTTCTTCAACTGTTGGGTTTTCTTTGCTTTTCTAAATATTGAATATTTCCATAAAAAAAGCAATGAGAGATGGTCAAGAAAAAAACTGCTACACTGGTCTTTTGTATCCAGAGCAGCATTTTTTCAACAGGAAACAACAAATTAGAAAATTAAGGGAGAGACAATAGTAACACAATAAATGACCTACCGGCCCAGTGGTGTATCAGGATATTTGACTGTTTCATATCTCCGATCGTGTTCGAAAAATGACTTGAATACATCGTCCTCAGAATTACTAAACTAAATCAAAACAAGTCAATGAGGAAAAGCATCAAATCGGTAGCAAACAATTAAAATGAAGCATTTTAGAAAACAACTTTCACAAGTAAGCATGGTACATGCGTAAGCGTCCAAGAAAAGCGCAAGATATTTTAGGCTGTTTTCAAATAAAAAGAAGACACACATTGCAATTTAAGATGAGTAAAAATGGCACGTGCATTCGTTAATCGATATGAATATCAGTGATTTTAGGTCATATGTAATATGTCAAATGCACATCACCACATACCATGATACAAATTAAATGCCATGTTGTAATTTTGTATTTCCTACCACTCGGTAAATTCAAAAAATAGCAATATGACAGAAATGTTAATTCTCTCATATCTTAATTAATATCTTAACTAATCTATTGAGTGATCTTTTGCATCACTTTTATAAGCCAATAGGTATATTTACCACGCAATGTTATTTTCAATTTTAATAAAAAGAGAGGGACCAAAATAAGTAGGGGGGAAAGTCTTTCTATCTGACTGTCTGTCTGCCTAAGTGCTAGATGCACTTGTATTTCTATCTTTCTCCTGAATCAAATATTTTTTTTTATTTCCTCATTGGTATAATAAACTTTTAATATCAAAAATGAACGCTTCTTTTATTGAATGAAATTTCATGCATATTACCTTACTGATAATATCTTATTTCAAGTGAACATTCTTTGTTTTTTTTCGTTGTTTAATGGTTTCAATTTAATTTCGACTCAACATTAATGATTAACTCTGAGTGAAATGGACAGTCAGTCTTTGTGAGCAGAAAAATTCTATCACAATGATTTTATCGTATATAATACTTGTACTTAATTAACAATGTATCATTTTTCTCTTAGGGAGTACCAAAGGAAGAACCAGATATGTAATACGATAAAATGTGTTTTAGTTCTATCCAACAGGTGGATAATGCATATTCTTGTTCAGGTACAGGAACTGTAGCTGTTTTAGCACGGCTCAGAAGGTAAAAACTACAGTTTAATAGAGTTTGACTTGTTTTGTAATTAAGCAAGTAAATTTGCTGGACGATAGTATACCACCGCAAATCCTAGTGTTTTATTTCTGTCTTTTTCCCGCGATCTGAATCTCTCTGTTTTTCCGACAAAGTAGGGGGTATCAAAGAACTCTTGCAACTTGTTGAAGAACGTGTCTTCTTTTTCCATCGACAACCACCACCCTAAAAATGAAATTAAATTTATTTTCCTCTAGTGTATGGCAATAGTTTATCAAAATATTGTCTTGGTGTGACGAAAGTAAAGAAACGCTTCATCACGAAAATTTTAGTGTCTAGAAATAGAGGGGATGGTTACACGGTTTTTTAAAAGGTTTTGACACGCATGACACAGCAGTGGAAACAATTGAGAATATACAAACACAAACAAGAGGATGGGGTTAACATGTAACCATCAGAAATTAAAAGTAAGGCTAAACAGAAAGACTTACCGTCGTAACAGTGGATTGGATAATTGGATACAAGACCACCGTCAATCATGTAACTATCAATTCCGTTTTGATGGTAAACAACAGGTCTAAAAAATCCTTTAAAAGTATATACATGTAAATTTAATTGCGTTATGAAAAGCTATATACTGCATAAACAGCTAAACAAAACCTCAGTGTACTTGTATGATAGCGTATCCATTGTTTAGTTCATGACAAACCTGCTAAACTTCAAAACATACATATGCCGTCTCTCAGAGGGAAGTTTGGGGAGATTATTACTGTAATTCTTAGCTAACCTGGATAACTACATGACATACGTATGGCGTCTCTCAGAGGGACGTTTAGAGAGATTACAATTAACTAAAGTTCTCAGCTAACCTAGATAACTACATGACATACGTATGGCGTCTCTCAGAGGGGCGTTTGGAGTAGTTTTTACTATAGTTCTTAGCTAACCTGGGTAGCTACAGGACATACGTATGGTAGCTAATCTGGATAACTACAGGACATATGTAAGGCGTCTCTCAGAGGGACGTTTGGGGAGATTATTACTATATAGTTCTTAGCTAACCTGGATAACTACAAGTCATACGTATGACGTCTCTCAGAGGGACGTTTGGGGAGATTATTACTATATAGTTCTTAGCTAACCTGGATAACTACAGATCATACGTATGGCGTCTCTCAGAGGGACGTTTGGGGAGATTATTACTTTATAGTTCTTAGCTAACCTGGATAATTACAGGTCATACGTATGGCGTCTCTCAGAGGGACGTTTGGGGAGATTATTTTAGGAATGACTCTAATTCTTGGCCAAATTATTCGAGTATAACCTGGTTTGGGTCAGTTTACGCTTTATAATCCGCGAAGCGGATTATAAACAGCGTAAACTGACCCAAACCAGGTTATACTCGAATAATTTGGCCAAGAATTAGAGTCATTCCTTATAATTTAATTTTAAAATCATTAAATAACTATGGGTGTAAAATTTCGTTGCTTTTTATTAGTTCAAATTTGCCGCTCAATAATACAACCATAGTAACGGAAGTAACGGAAGTGATGGGAAGCGAGGGGAGGTAAAAACTGATGCAAGCAGCCTTGTTGTTCGTTTACATGTGGTAAGATCGAATTATTGTTTGAAGTTAAAGGTACATTTATTAAATCTGGAATTTTCCATGAATCCCGAGGACTGGAAATGAGAGGATTGTATGGATACAGATGAATCAGCTGGTTGTCAGGGGGGTGTGTCCCCATACCAAACCAGGTTATACAGAAATAATTTGTGTTCCTTTTTGGATATTAACCAATCAGAGGCTAGAATACAAAAAAAATTAAATTATTACTATATAGTTCTTAGCTAACCTTGATAACTACAGGACATACGTATGGCGTCTCTCAGAGGGACGTTTGGGGTGGTTTTTACTATAGTGCTTAGCTAACCTGGATAACTACATGACATACGTATGGCGTCTCTCAGAGGGACGTTTAGAGAGATTACAATTAACTATAGTTCTCAGCTAACCTAGATAACTACATGACATACGTATGGCGTCTCTCAGAGGGGCGTTTGGGGTAGTTTTTACTATAGTTCTTAGCTAACCTGGGTAACTACAGGACATACGTATGGTAGCTAATCTGGATAACTACAGGACATATGTAAGGCGTCTCTCAGAGGGACGTTTGGGGAGATTATTACTATATAGTTCTTAGCTAACCTGGATAACTACAGGTCATACGTATAACGTCTCTCAGAGGGACGTTTGGGGAGATTATTACTATATAGTTCTTAGCTAACCTGGATAACTACAGGACATACGTATGGCGTCTCTCAGTGGGACATTTGGGGTGGTTTTTACGTGCATATATTCTTCCTCCTTGGTGCTGATATTGGCGATAACAACGCATAGTTCTTTCTTTTTCTTTATATACAGCTAAAAACAAAACGTAATAAAACTACATGTACATTTATTTGAATATTTAAAGATGAGAATTTAGAAAAGGCGGTATACATATAGCTTAAAAACCATAGCAAAATTTATTTTATGCAATATTTTCCATAAATCATTCCTAACCTAAATGCAATAATTGTTGCGCTTACATTACAAACTGTAAATCTTTACCTTTTCATTCAATAAGCTCCCAGAATAAAGCTTCTACTTGAGAAGCAATTTTTGCAACAGTTAAATACAATTATTTTCTTCGAATAAATAAGGTCTCTCACATCTAAGAATGTAGCGTCTTTGTTCCCCAGTTTTTGTTCAATAATTTTCCCCATAAAATTGTATTCATTTTCATAAGGTTGCCATCCATAGTACGACAGAATGTTACAGGGCATACAGCATGCGCAGGACTCTAAAAATAGTAAATGATACATCTATAAATTTTTTTTATTAATATATCTGAACAATTTGATCATACAACAGTCGAGCTGGATTTAAATATTTTCAAATGCAGGAATTTTTATTAAAATGATGATATCTTTCACTAAAATATCTATGCCAGAAATTTTAAACAATGTTTTACCATATAACTTCGCTGGGTATCTCATGATAATCTTCTCTATTTCTTCTTTGGAACATTCCATGGCTAAAAGCATTGCAACATAAGCACCCGCGCTTGCTCCAGCAAATCGTTCAAGGTGCATCAAAATGTTAGCATCCTCCAATGCCTAGATATAAATTGTTGCGATTGAAAATTACTGTTAATATATTACATATATAAGAGTATATTTTATTTTTTTTCCATATTCTTGTCAATTTGTAGTCTTGAGTAAATTTCTGTCAATTGTGATTACAATTCTACTGGCATTAATTTTCTTTGTTTTCGATTTGCATGTAAACGAAAAAACTAGTTGTACAGTTTCCACCATCGCCAAGGTACTCAGTATAAATGTGCTAACTGGGCAATATATTGTATACATGTAGTGAATTGGAAAATGGAGTGCATCCTTTCATATTTAATCATAAAATATACGTGTACCTTTATAACCCCCATATACGATAAGGTTTTAAACCCTCCGCCTTCAAAAACAACATTCTCAAACGGATAATCCTCCGCTGCCGGGTTAATGTTGTCCTCTGATCGCCCTCCTCCTGAAAGAAATAAAAAAAATCTGCAAACACTTTCCTCTTACTTAAATGCATGCATTTCGGATGTTAAGGATGTTAAGACAGTGATAAACCCTGTAAATCTAACTAAGAGCTCTTGCATACATGGATGCTTTAAATACATGACAACACAGCTATATCTTGTTGACTAGAAGTACATGTACATGTACATCATGTTTATACATGTATTCTAATAATTCAGAAATAAGTTTGTAGTTCGTTCGGGTTTATGGGGTTGTATGTATATGATAAAAATCAATGTACATGTGGGCTTTAATGTTATTTGAATTACCGATTTCTTCAAGGGATATACATATACCTCATAAACCCCAAGCAAGAGATTAATGAGGCAATAAGTATATTTAAGCTCACATGAGTAAACTAGCTTGGCCTTGCTGTTCAGAATTTTTCCTATATATTTCAATGTAAAACTTTGATCTGTTGTGGCCCTACCTAGCCTCATGGACCATGTGCTTAGAACATACTAATACTTGAATCTGCACTACCCGGGGTATGCCATCGTCTCAAGCAACGGTCCAAAGTCCGCTTATAGCTCTCCAGAATAGGTGAGGATTGTACATTTTTGCCGTGGTTTGCGACGATAGGGAGATACTTGCATATTTATAATATTTAGTATATAAACATATCACAGCTGTTCATGAGGAGAAGATTTTTAAAGATAGTTTCTTTAAAAATATTGACATTTAAAACGTTTACCCCTACATGTATGTATATAGTCCGACTCTACTACCAGGACCATGATTTGAGCAAACTTTAATTCACTCTCACAGAAGTTTTGTCTTCTCTGACCCTGTGGTTCTTGAATGACACTACCTTATTTTCACCATTTCTCAGTTATCCCAAAGTGAAAGAGGGCATGGCGATTCATTTGAAGAAACTTTAAAAAGTTAAGTATATTTGTAATCCTTCTATATAAATCAATATGTATATGTATGGATTTATGTGCAAGGTAGGGCATGAGAATGAATTGTTAAATATCAAATATTTGTCATTACTTATACAAATTAACATGTAATATTGATACAAAGCATCAAATAGGTTGCAAACAAAATTCAGCATTTTAAAAAATTACCTTCTCAAGTAAGCATCAAAGAAAAGCGCAAGATGTTTCAGATTGTCTTCAAAAAACAAACAAACAAATCAAATTGCAAAACCGGATAAACAGGAATGGCATATATACTTTCAGTGCATTACTTGATTAAATTGATTCATCTATATGAAAATCAGTAATAGATGATAAGAATGTATTGTTTTATATTTGGATATATTTGTATTTGTATATTGGATATTTGTCACCAGATGATGCTTATGCACGGGGCGGTGATGGAAAAAAAAAATTATGAATTAATACAAAGTGGAGGAAAAAACATCGTTTTGTCATTCGCAGCAGTAGAATATTCAAAGCTAATTTTATTAGTTCTAGCAACTTTTCAATTTGTATTAACTGTAATATCAGTATCCGAAGAATTTAACGATGTGCATTTTTCTCTCACACAATCCTATGCTGGGGAGTACCTTTTTTAAACTCTTTTTAAAAAGTCATAAATTAATACTAGTAATTATCTGATAAGAAAATGAAAATTAAATTAATAAATATAACTGCAAGACTACTTGAAAGCAAGTTTTTTGAAAATATTTCATGATTTTCACGTACGTCATCATTAACGAATTATTTTGTACCAGATATAGCCTCAACCAATATTATTTTACCGAACTCAAGTGCACTTTCAAACACAACTACAAATAGATCGATCGCTCCTGTTATAAAGCGAGAGGGTAAACCTCCAGATTAAAATGTTATAATGTGAAGATAATAACAATAAAAATAGCTCTGTTAATCAATTTACACAGCAAAGTTTTATATTGTAAATACACCGTACATTAGATAATATGCCCTTTACATGTAATGAAAGCAACGAAAAAGAAATAAAATTGTAGCTTCTTTTTACGATTTACTTCAGGTAAAAATGCGTACCTGTAAAACAATCAATGTCGTCCCCGCAGTCCTTTGCTGCTCTCTTTAAAGAATGTTGTACATAACGACATCTCTCGTCCGAAATTTTACAGACTGATGGAGACCCTCCCATTTTCTCAAAAAATTCTGTCACAAATTAACAACAGATCATTTATCGAGATGTGTCTCCATTGATCCTTTTCAGATTTCGTAGTCAATCCTGAATGACAGATAATTTACATGATTTCAAGAGCCCTGATTTGGAAACCCATAAGGATACTGTATGTTTAATATTTACGGATGTAGCATTTCCTCGCATCCTCTATAGTGATATAGTTAGTGATTTAAGGTTATAGCAATATATAATTATTGCATGTAGTTGAAGGTAACATTGAAAGTTTTCACCCCAAGAAAACCATTTTCGAGGAGTGAAAATGTCCCCTTCGACTACAAGCAAACCGAATGTTTTATACAAATACATATACTAGTAACCTTGAATCGTGCGCGCTTGAATTCTGTGCAGCCAACATTTTTAGCTCACCTGGGCTGAAGGCTGAAGTGAACTTTTCTGAACAAAGAGTGTTCGGTGTCCGTCTGTCGTCTGTAAACTTTTCACATTTTCGACTTCTTCTCAAGAACCACTGGGCTAATTTCAACCAAACTTGCCACAAAGCATCCTTGGGTAAAGGGGATTTAAGTTTGTTCACAGGAAGTATCACGCCCTCTTTCAAGGGGAGATAATTAAGAATTCGGGAAAATTTGGCGGCATTATTTCAAAATCTTTTTCGCAAGAACCACTGGGCAAGAAAAGATGAAACTTATGTAAAAGCTTCATTACATACTGTAGATTCAAGCTGGTTCATATCATAACCCCTGGGGGTAGGGCGGGGTCACAAGAGGGGGATCGAAGTTTTACATAGGAATATATTTGAAATATCTTAAAAAATCTTCTTCTCAAGAACAGCAAAGCCATGATTAGTCTTATTAGTCCCCTACCGGTGAAACCGGAGGGGACTCTAGGTTTCCTCTGAGTCTCTCCGTCTGTCTAGCTGTCTGTCTGTCTGTCCGGCTGTCTGTCCCTCTGTCTGTATGTCAGTCTGTACCACTTGGTTTTCCGCACTTTTTTTCCTAAACGCTTGCAGATATTGAGCTGATTTTTGGTATGTGAGTGAATCTTGATGAGTTACAGATCACATTTGCATTTCGTCCCCCTTCATTGATTTTTGACGGAATTACGGACTTTTCAATTGAGCTGATTTTTGGTATGTGACTTTACCTTGATTAGTTATAGATCAAGTCTGCATTTCGTTCCGCTTCATTGATTTTTGACGGAATTATGGCATTTTCAATTCTTAACGGCAACCTGATTACACTTGCCGGTAGGGGACTAGTATTGCTAATACAATACTCTCAGAGTGCTTGTTATAGAAGATCCTCAGGTGCAAGTAGTACATAACCCAGTCTCCTTCCCTAGATAAGAGAAAAAATTAAGTACTGTGCGATTTACCCTCAGACAGAGCAGTCTTAATAATCGTTCCAATCTTTAACTTAGACAAGGTAAAAGTAAAATCTATATATCCCTTGTAAGAACCTGATCATACACGTTACATAGGAAGTATCTTTAAAATTCTTCTTCTCAAGAACAAATAAACCATTATTAGTCGTATTTATACAGAAGCAACCTTAGATATTGTAGAATCAAGTTTGTTCAAATTATTCCCCCAGGGATTGGGGGCAAAACTTCCATATCAATGTTAAATTTAAGTCCCCCCCCCCCCAATTTTTCAATACTGAACTGACTTCTGCTTTTTCCTAGCCAATGTGTTCAGGTGAGCGATGTGGCTCATGGGCCTCTTGTTTGGAATCTCACCAGTGGTCAAGTAATTTTGACTGTTTCAGCGCTACGTTCTATCGCGTGAGGGCGTCGTTTCATCAATCAGAGGGCTACAGTGGTTTGTTTAACAAATGTTCAACGAATCAGATTCAACCAAGCCCTTTCATGTATCTTTATCTTTTTTAAATATTAACTGCTGTAAAGGAGAAACTTCAGACACAGTTTTTCATTCACGAGAGGCGGAGCCCCGAGTGAATAAAAACTTGGAGTGTATTTACCGCTAACCAATTAATATCTATTGTGTAAGTTACTTGTACCAGAGGACCAATGAGAGAAAAGCAAGTTGATAATTAGCACCGCCTACTACGAGGTGTCAAGACACGGTCCGGAGTCTGTATAAATAGCTGTCTCCATCTGCAAGGATCATACTTAGATGCGTCACTGCTACTGCAAATTGTTGATAAAAAAAAATTGATTTCGGAATTGGTACGTGTGAAGATATTGTACCTTTGGAATGTTGAAGACGCAGAAAACATGATTTTTGTCAGGTACAGAGGTAGAGATTGTAGGCTTTTATATTCAAGCCGTGAACTCTGAAAGAAAATTTATCTTTTTAGGTCTTTTTTTTTTTTTTTTTTTTTGAAAAAAAAAGGAGGATGGGTATTGGAAACATCGCCATTGAACTTTTTCTATATGGCGTACAGAAAAAAATGAAATGATTTGTGATGTGTTAATGAAAGTTTGAAATGGTATTGGTACATCAAAGCAAATGGTATTGGAAGTAAAAAAAAAAAAAAAAAAACGTTATTAATGTGTAATAATTGTGCTCCTTTATAAGCCGACTTGTTTTTATATTCCTATGAAGCAGAATTTATTCAAAAACTTCTACACTAGAAGAAAACACTTGCTGTGGCCTTCGACTCGAGATTTAGATATATCGACAACTTGTTATGAATTAACAGTATATTCCGCTTAGCACCACAGAAGTCGCGTCTTAATATAGTTACTTCTATTCATCTTTCGACTCCATACATCCCAGTGAACTTGAAATAAAAGACACCACAGAGTCTGCCACATTATTTGGTTGTTTTACTGACTATAGACGATAAGGGCAAATTAATAACTAAATTGTATGACAACGAGATGACTTCAGCTTTTCCACCGTCAACTTTCCTTATTTATGTAGTAATATTCCGTTATCACCTGCAAATGGAGTTTACATCTCCCAACTTATTCAATACTCAAGAGCATGCTCCGAGTACGATCAATTTTTAAACCGAGACTGGATACTGACCGATAAGTTGATGTTATAGGGATTTCAACCACCTCGTTTAAAGTTAGCATTTCGTAAATTCTATGGTGTATAATGACCTTGTTAGCAAATATAAACTATCATTGGGTGCCTGTTTCATACCAATAATTGTTAGGCCTTTGTTTAACAGCTAGTAGAATGCCCAACAAGAGGTGATAACACCCTGGACTTAATACTGACCAATAATCCATCAAAATTTAACAGAGTAGAAACCATTCCAGGCATCTCGGACCATGACATTGTCTTTGCTGAAATAGATACCAACATCTTAAAGAAACCCCAAAAGCCACGAAGAATCCCCTTATATCGCAAAGCCAGCTGGGATTCAATGAAAGAAGATATGACATCAACTCTTAACACAATAACAATGATGGATGATGATAATCATAGTGTAGATGAAATGTGGGAGTGCTTTAAAACCAACCTGGAAAAAAGTATAAAACAAAATATACCACATAAAGATGCCAGAACCATAGATGGTCTACCATGGATAACACCAGAACTCAAGAAACTCATCCATAAGAGAAATAGACTATACAAAGAGAAGAAGAAATCTGGAGATAACAGAGATAAAGAACACTTCAAAGAAATTACGGGGAAGGTACAAAGAGGGTTAAGAAGGGCATACTGGAACTACATCGAGGGAATAGTAACACCTAAAGTAGAAAATGACCAATATAGTGGCCTAAAACGCTTTTGGACTTATATAAAACATCAAAGAACTGACAACAATGGAATTTCACTGATACGCAGTGAAGGAGTGCTACATGCCAATCCCACTGACCAGGCAGATGTTCTGAACAAACAGTTCCAGTCGGTATTCTCAGAGAAGACACAAATCAGTACTGAAGAATTCATGCGCGACTGTCCTATGAGTTGAAAGTACCCAGTTGCTCCAGATCTGCACATCACCCATAATGGAATTCTAAGACTAATGAAAAATATGAATCCATATAAAGCAGCGGGTCCAGATGGGATTAAACCAAGAGTGCTGAAGGAGTTGGCTGACAGTGTATCCCCCATCCTCACCATCATCTTCAGGAAATCTTTACAAAGTGGAGAGGTTCCATCTGAGTGGCGTAAAGCACATGTCAGTCCGATTTTCAAGAAGGGTGACAGATACAAGAACTATCGACCCATTTCCCTTACATGTATCTGCTGCAAGCTTATGGAACACATTGTCATCAGCCATATCATGCAGCATGCTGACCTTAACAACATACTGTACCCACTCCAGCATGGTTTCCGTAGCAAAAGATCCTATGAAACCCAACTCATTGAGTTTATAGATGACATAACCACCCACATGGCTGCCGGAAAGCAGACAGATGTATTGATTATGGATTTTTCTAAGGCTTTTGATAAAGTTAGCCATAGCCTCCTCATCCATAAACTCCGACATTATGGGATCCAGGGCAACGTGAACAACTGGATTTCTAGCTTCCTCTCTAACAGAACACAAGCCGTAGTTGTTGATGGAGAGATGTCCAGCTATGTTAGTGTCGAGTCTGGCGTGCCCCAAGGATCAGTCCTTGGGCCATGCTTATTCCTTTTCTACATAAATGACATGCCAGAAGGCCTCAATGCCACAGTAAGACTATTTGCTGATGACACTATTGCTTATCTTACTGTCACATCAGAATTGGATACCCAGACACTCCAGACCGACCTAGATAAACTGGGCATGTGGGAAAGGAGGTGGAAAATGGAATTCAACCCAGACAAGTGTAATGTACTATCGGTCAGCAGGAAGTCCACACATCATCAATATAGGCTACATGGCCATACTCTCGAGCACGTAAAGAGGGCGAAATACCTTGGCTGTCTAATAACATCTGACCTGAAATGGAGTGACCACATAAATAATATCTGTGGTAAAGGAAATAAGACCTTGGGATTCCTCCGTCGTAACTTGAACATCAGCTCAACTTCAATAAAGGAGAGTGCATACAAATCGTTAGTCAGACCCCTGTTGGAGTACGCAGCA